CCGCTTACGTCTCTGGCGCTTAATTGTGGAGACCCCAGGTCAGGTACAGGAGCATTCCCAACAAGGCCAATGGCATACCCGGCAGCCAGGCCGGTCAGCCCAACACTCAACCCAGCAGCCAAGTGCACGATCCCCGAGAACAGCGAGTAGGAAGATTCCTTGCGACCCAGGTCTCCAGCTATCAGGACGGCGATTACGAGGCCGTATACCGCTATTATCCCGGACATGATGACGCCTTGGGAAATTGTCAGAGGAGGAGGAGGTGGTGGGAAGGTGACGTACTTATTAGAGACTTCATGATGAGCTCTGACTTGAATGTTCCGATGCCAGATATTGCGATGCCGGCCTTTTTCACGCACGTTAGCTCTTTCGTTTCGTTTCGTTTCGCGCTTGCGCCTGTTGGGTGGGTTCTGAAGGATGCGAACCTTAGCGGTACCGTAGGCGGCGCCCATGCTTGAGAATATCATCGCTGATGCTCTGCCCACTCTTCGTATTAGTTATCCTTCTTCCCCTCTCGTCCGTTCAGGATCAGGGGCATTACACTCCAGCCATGCCGAAGAACGGCGCGTATATAGGGTTCATTTCATTGATCTCCGACATCATGGCTTAGGAGCGTTGGACGTCGTGATGATTTGGGTGTTATTGTGTGCGTGTGTGCGTGTGTGCTTTCGATATGGGGTAACTAATGGGTAACGCGGGTGGCTGAGGATTGCTCCTGTCAACGCATGATAGTTGCTTGGCCGTCAACCTGGTGAGGGAACTGGCTGTCTTGGCGGGAGGGTAACTTTGTGGTATGATGATGATGTGGCCCCGAGGTCACCCGGCTTGTGGGAGTCCTAAATGGGATGCGAGGGAAAGATTGTGGAAGGGAACGGTGTGAGAGGGTAGATAGTCTACTAGCAATCCAGTTGACCGGGACCAGGCAGTCTACACAATGAGCTCAATAAACCCCAACTTCGGTTCCAATTCGGCTGTCAAAATATTCTAGCACTGTAATGGAAGCATTTCCTCGAGACACAATCACAAAAAATCACTTATCACAGAATATGGTATCATAGCAGCACAAAGTCTGCCATCTCACGATAAAGGCGCATGATAACATCCATAAGTTTCACAAACCCTCCATAAAACAAATACCCTGGTATCTTACAGCCCCCCCATTCCCAACCCCACTTATCAACATTTCCACTATAGTACAATCGCTACAAACGAACAAATAAAGAACCATCTACCTCCTATTACTGCCCCCAGGGCCACTGCGAAACCCCTGTGCCTCCCGCAAACTCTCCTTTTGGCTCGGTAGCGGTGCTCTGTTCCTCCCACCCTGGTGATCCTCGTTCACGGCCAGCAATTGCGCAGCAGTAGGCATACCTCCACCCCCCAACCCTGGAATACCAGGAATACCACCTGCTGGTGCCCCGCCCATTACGGGAATACCAAAATTCGGTGGGGGTGGAGGGATGAATCCCGCAGGAATAGCACCACCGACAACAGGGAGAGGTGGTGGTGGTGGGCCACCTCCCCCAGGGCCACCCTGAAGATGCGGAGGGGGGGGGGGCGGCGGCGGGAGTTTACCCGTGTTGAAGAGGCCGGCAAGAGTTGATGATAGATCTCCGAGTCCTGGAACTGCCCCACCCATGGGTAGGGGCGGGACTAAACCAGGCATATTCGGCATGTTAGGAAATCCGGGAATGCCTTGTGATTGCTGACCTGGCAGTGGCATCTTCTGATCCACTAGCGCGTCTGCCTCGTCCTGCTCCTCCTCCTCCTCTTCCTGCCTGTTTCTTCGTCCACGACGGTCGTAAGTTCCCATTGCCGCGGCGGCTTCATCTCCGATATGATGCCTGTCACGGAAACCGTCGAGCTCACCAGGGCGAGGACGGGTCCAGAAACGGGTTATCCTATCGTTAGATCCGGAGCAGAGGATGTGGCCGAGTGGGTGGTATTCCATGCTCCAAATCGCATACTCATGTGCGAATGGAATTGACGCTGCGGGGTGGATGATTGTTGAAGATGTATGGGATGCGTTGACACCCTGCGGGCTCTCGTCAAGGAGGTAGTGGTTAAGAGCTCCATCCGAACCTCCCGTCGAGATCAATGCCGGATGGATAGGGTGCCAAGCCAGCGTTGAGATATCTTTTTCATGACCACGAAGCACGCAAAAATCCTTCATTGCACGAAGGTCGAAGATTCGACACGTTTGGTCCCTTGCACAAGTCGCCAGCAGATCGCCACGAGTAGGTTGGAATAGAGACTTTGAGATGGTATTTTTGTGGCCGTGTAGCGTAGTCAGGCAGCGGGAGGTGCGAGGATCCCAAAGTTTCACCAAATGATCCTTCGAACCAGATACTATCAACCCCTTGGTTGGATGCCAATCCACCGACTTTACGTCCCAACCGTGACCAGTGAGAGCACGCTCCTCGACTCCCTCATTGAAGTTCCAGATCTTGAGCGTGCCGTCGTCGGATGCAGTAACGAACTTTGCGTCGGTAGGAGAGAACCTATAACCCGTTAGCTTTATATCGGGAAAATTGGGGCGATAAAACCCACGATAAATCACGGATAGGCTCTTTATGCGCATCAAGTACTTTAACATTATTGAAATTCGGCTGCCAATACTTGACTGTCCCATCCTGATCTCCCGAAAGCAACCAATCGCCACTATGCGAGTATTGGCAAACACGAATAGCACAATCATGAGCCTGCGCCCAAACCTTAGCCACACCTTCTCGCAAAGTACTAGCTACAGCACCAACACACCTGCATGATAGTTTCAAAATTGAAGCCCATTCCATTCCATAAGGTAAACTCCCCACTGCTAGACCCAGTAAGAAGCCTCCTGCCTTCAGGTGTCCACTATACAACCCCATCCAGTCAGTACCATCCTCTTCCACCCCTCCCACCAATCCGCCGGGAAAGGGCCCCAAAAAACAGACCTTGACAACATTGATCGGGTGTTTAATCTTATTCAAAGAAGCATGAATATGCTTTGTCGGCAATGAGCTCGCTGGATTCTCCAAATACGCTGCAGGTGGTAACAACTATAATCAACACAATCAGCAACTTTCCCTCCATCCCAATAGCCACACGCGAAGCAAGGCGAAGTATACAAACATCAACAATAAACCCCGGCGCCGGCCTCAAAAAGTCAATGCTCTGGCCGCGCCAGTTCATCCGCCGCTTCATCATCCATTTTCCAACTGAAGCACCGTAATCTGTGACGGGTCCTTTATGGATGTAAGAACGGGTGCTCCGAATCTTCCCCATTGTATTCGAGAAGGAGAAGGAAAGGGGGAGGGTTGATCGATTGATCGATTGATTGAGGTGGGGATAGGTATACTTCTGTGAAGAGGTCTGCCTCTATTGTATGGACCATCTCGTTCTCCTCCTCCGCCGCCGCCGCCGCGTTTGTCATAGCCTCCTCCTCCTCCACCGCCGCCACCGCTGCCTGCGGAAGGGTCGTGGTTGTAGGTTCCGCCATCTCGGTCTCTGTCTTCGTAGCGAGCCATAGGGTGCAACTGGCGATGAGGATTTTTTAGTAGGGCTTTAACCTAGAAATTACTAGTATAATATGATATGATATTAGAATAGCGCAAGAGAGAGGGTATGATATAAGAAATTATGGTTCTATTAGGGCTGAGATGGACCGGGGTTGAGGAGGTAGAGTTGGAGTTTAGTTGATAATAGGTTGTAAGGTACATACCTTATCGCGGTGCCCAGCTGTTGAGGCGAAGTTGCGGCTCCAAGTTTTGTGATGGTGCTCGTACCTGCGGTTTGAATGCTAATTATGGGGCATTGTGATGGATTCCATTGCCATCTGTATTGCATTGTGACATTTCTCTAATACTGCTATCCACCAATTCCTCGAAATTAACCTGGTCGGGTAATTTACTGTATTTGCGAACCTTTCCGGATTATCGTTTTTCCGAACATAACTATTAAGCAGGTGCCTCATGAGTTATGGTACTAGAGTAGACTATTTAGTCGAGCACCAAAAGTCTCGTCGTTTACGATGGAGTAGGAACAAACCTCAAAGGCCCATCAAAAGCCAACACCGCCTGAGCATTCCCCACTCGTAGCTCAACATACCTTCCCTAGTGCTCTCCCTCTAACCTAGGGGGAAAAAAACTAAGACCCGAGTGACACCCGATGACCTCCACTCGCCACCAACCTGAAGCTTTTACTGTAAATCAACTAACCCAAGTTACCTCCCACGTGCCTCCGTAACCACAACCGCACGACACCAGATGGTCTTCCCAACGCGCCAGACCGCAGTTCTAACCAACCATGTTGGCAAGTACCCTCCCCTTCCTTTATGCCACAGTCCCAAGCCCCCGAATCCCCCAGCTAATGATACCAGGACCAGTGCATTGTGTGAGCTATAGCTCCGGAATCGGACAATACGTACCTCTTCCAATAACCCCCCACCTTTAATCCACAATTCACTGACCAAACCCGCAGATCCTAACCGGCGGCTCGGACCGGAAAAGTACCCCCCCTCTTCCCCCCTCTTCCCCCCAGCTGACCCTCCCCCCTCTCTCAAGTCACCCTCACAAACCCCACAACCGCCACCCCCCTCCAATCCTACACCTCACACGGCTACGAAGTCCTCTCCCTCAGCATCTCTCCAGACAACAGCACTTTCGCCTCTGCCGGCGGTGATAAACTCGTCTTCCACTGGGACGTTGCAACTGCAAAGACCCTCCGACGCTTCGAAGGCCACTTCTCGCGCATAAACGCCGTAACCCACAACGACGACGCGAGCGTGCTGATATCCGGTTCGTACGACGCCACGGTCCGGCTTTGGGACTTGAAGTCGCAGTCGCGGAAGGCGGTACAGGTGCTTGAGGATGCCAAGGATAGCGTTACGAGTGTTTATGTAAAGGGCTGTGAGGTGTTGGTGGGCAGTGTGGATGGCAGGGTTAGGAATTATGATGTTCGTATGGGGAGGTGCTTTGTGGACTTGATTGGCTGGCCTGTTACTAGTGTTGGTGTCACGGCCGATGGGAATGCCTTGCTTGTGGGTGCGCTTGATGGTGGGATTCGGTTGATGGATAAGGTTAATGGGGGGATGCTGCAGTGCTATCGCGGACATGTTAATGGGGATTTTAGGATTAGAAGTTGTTTTGGTGAGGGGGAGAAGTACGTGATCACTGGGAGTGAGGATGGGTGGATTTGGGTCTATGATTTGCTGGAGGGGAAGGTGGTGGAGAGGTTGAAGGGGCATGAAGGGAAGGTTGTGACTTGTGTTGCCTATAATCCCGGAGGGAAAAAGCAGATGGTTAGCAGCGGGACTGATGGTAAGAATCTGCTCCCCGGAAATGCGTATATATGTTCTTGCGGGCTAACTGGGATATTTCAGGTACCGTCGTCGTCTGGGGGGAGTAATACGTCAATTACGGCGTTTGGTGCGAGCTCAGTTGCACTTCGATTTCTACTACGTTAATCCACATTTTGTTTCCTCGTCAAAGATCCCATTATACCATAGATAGATGAGCTAAACCCACAGTATTATTTTGATCCAAAAGAGAAGGAGTAGTAGTAACGGACAGGACATCGTAGAGGTGGTAAGAAAAGGTGGAGTGTCATTGTTAAAGAGAGATATATAGAGAGAGAGAGCCCTGGAAATTGGGAGAACTACAAATGGATAAGGTGGTTGGAAGCTAAGGTTGAAGAGATGGAAGAAAAAAGAAAAAAGAAGTTGAGGCCAAAGTGAAAAGGATACAAAGGAAGTGGGATTCCACCGATCAGAGAACAAGGAGCTAATATCGTATAACGTAGGAGAGATGTTGTAGGTATGATAAACAATGATTATTGTCCGGTGATAAAATTATCCCCATCTTGAAACAGACTTTTGACACGCCGTTTCGCTCTCGGTCCTCACTGCTTATCTAAATAAGGCACAACACTTTAACGCCTGCCATGGCTTCTAGCAACACCACCCTGCATACCCTCCAACTCCATTTCCAGTTGCTTAATACTACGGTTCGTAATATCATTAGTGCGTGAGCTAGAGGTAGTAGTTTCATCAGGGAGAAAACATACGCTGCATGTGTGCTCTCCAGATCCTTGTTAAGGCGGTCGCGTTCTGAAATGAGCTTCTGCTCCCATTGTCTAAACCTAGCCTCCTCCTTCTTGACTTGCTCAGTGAATCGTTTCCTGAGGTTCTCTTCCTCCTCCTTGAACTTGGGGTTATCCAACTTCCGGGGGCGAGCCTCTCCCATCTTGCGGGTCTCCATCTGCTGTGCACGGTACGCCTCATAGTGTTGCTCCTCAGTTGTGTGAATCAAGTCGAGCATGTGGGTACGAATAAGAATGCTGCGTAGCTTCTTGAAATCGCAATGGTCTTCATTCTCAACTTCAGCGACACCCCATGAGTATTGGCGACCCTTAACAACGCGGCCATCGGCAGTCTTTACGTCCTTCTCACTTCCAATGACAGCGAATGGCATAGCAGCCTGGTGGGTAGTAATTAGAAGGCTATTGTGGATAATTCTCCAGATAGGGGGCTTACCATCAAGCTACGGGCATGGAGCGCAGCAGCCTCATCATCCTCCTCAATTGGTGGCTGGTAAATTTTGATACCCTGCGCCTGGATGACGGCTCGGATCTATACTGAGCATTAGCAACCCCTCTGAGCTCCAATATCGGAAATTTGGCGCAATTACCCTCTGCTTGAAGGTAGTTAGGTCGGCAGGGGAGAGTGTATCAGCCTTGGCAACGACCGGTATCAAGTTGACACGCGAAGACAGCCTCTTCATAACCTCGATATCCAGGGGCTTCAAGGTGTGACCGGTAGGCCTGATGAAGTAAAGACAAGCATGAACACGAAGATCAATCTTATCGGTACGACGGGGCTGTTGCTCCTGAAGCATGTAGGATTCATGCTGGTCATCCAAGAACTCAATGATGGGCATCCACGAATCGCGGTTGTTGACATAGTCTCCGAAACCAGGTGTATCGATGACAGTAAGGCGGACTGGTTTAAAAGATTAGCAACTCGTACCAGACTCGGATCGTTATAGGGCAAACCTTTGAAGAACTTCTCCTCGAGCTCAGCTTTGGTAATCGCAATCTCGACCTGCGGGTAGTATTAGTACCTGATAGCTCGATGTCGAACGCGATTGCTCATACAGTCTTGTCCATCTGCTTCTTGTGACGGAGGCGGTGCTCAGCATAGTTTTTTATAGTAGTACTAAACAATGTGTTCACGAAAGTGGTTTTTCCGAGACCACTCTCTCCAACAACCATTATAGTGAAAGCAGCGCCTCTGTAGCACAAGGGGGCTAATTAGCTTCCGGCCAATTGACAAAGCTTGCATAGGCACAAAGGAACAAAATACGAACCTTTTGGCCACGATCTTGTGCCTCTGGTTTGGCAAATTGGCGATACCTATCGCGTTGTCAACGTGTCCGTTAGGCATTGTGAAGGTAGCTTTAATCTGGAACTATAGGTGTAAAGGGGAGGCTTTTTTTGTTGCGACAAAAAGTCAACAAACACCAAAGTAGGATTGATGAATAAAGATAGTTGGAAGAGTGACGGGGGGTGGTGATAGAGGCTAAGGAGAAGGATATGCACTGGCTAGTTGCTGTGTGCGTGCAGTTCTGGTCAAAACGGGCCTGGAGGAGAAAGAGAGAAGGGTTGAGAAGTAGGGAGAGTCTTTGCAGATTGGAAAAGGAGACTGGCAATGGTATGGTGGGAAAACCCCTGAAATTAGATTTGGCGTGTTTGTGCCAAGAGGTAGCGAAAGGGTTCAAGCTTCACCTGTAACGCTTGGACTGGGGCTGGCGAGCAGACCACCATACAATCCTCTTGTGGACCCGGAATTGCACGGCTACCACTCCTCTGTGTGCGCGTGGAATTGGAATAAAGTGCATTCTAAAGCGTTCATTCTATGTAAGAGGAATTCCTCGACCAGGTGTAATGGGAAAACCATCACTTGCCATTTTTCACCAACACCTTAACTTCCCATATCGTGGTATGATACACTATATAGTATCATATTTCGCAGTAGTCTAATTTACTTGGGTCACCGGTTATGGAAGGTACATATCGTCAATGTTCAAGTCATGGCATCTCACACCCCGCATATTATGCACCCCACAATTCACCAGCAACTCAAACCCCACCAATGCACCAAGTAATTCAAGAATAAGGGCCCCCCAAGACGCCATCTCACTTAAGCAAATTTGGTAATCAATCCCACTGAATTAACTCTAGGAAAACGCCAAATAAATCGTACTTAAACACGTCAATCCCAGAACTACATAGCCCCCCGTGTACACACCCTTTATATCCAGCAATTTGCCCGTATCCCAAATCAAATGCCTAACCCCATTCCACGCATGATAAGTAAACGGCAAAGCCAGTACCCCCTTGATCCCAATCTTTGTAGCATCGGGCATGGCACCGAACGCCTCAGCGATAGTCTGGGACTCCAGGTGCAGGCCGAGAGTCGGCGCAACGAGGTAGCCGATTGCGAACGCGTAGGCTGAGGTCGAGAGGATGGCGCCGGTGATGCGGTTCGCACCGGACATCAAGGAGGTGATTTGCGGTTGGTAGATTGTTAGGTGTGGGGATATAGGGCGGAGTTTGCGCTGGGCGTTGAGGATGGATTGGGCATCGTCGTTGCTGAGTTTTGAGGTGCTTGCGGTATATCTGGGGTTTGTTAGGTTGATAGGGAGGGGATGGCAAGTAGCGTACCTGCTCCGTGTAGTGCTGGCCACCGGGTAGGCCCTTGCCAGAGTGAATCTTGGGGGAACGGGATTTTGTCCTGCATGTGAAAGAAACTCATTAGCAATCATGTTCTGGTCAGAAACGGAGGGTAAATACCCTTCGAAACAGATCTAACCACGGCTCTTGAAAGCATACTATCGCATAAAGAAGTGGTGAATGTCTGTTCGCTCGGAGCAAGTGAGTAAGGCAAGACCAAAAGAAAAATGGTTGTTGGTTCGTCGGTCGGTCCAAGAGCCCGGGAAGGTTCGATACGGCATCCGGTCTTCAGCGAATTCGTTTAGCCGAGGGAAGCTCCTCGCTGACTCATCTCCTCAATGGCCCTCAATGGCCCTCATGCCCTGCACCCGCGCGTCGAGTGCAAATCTTGGCACATCCCACAAACCATTACCGTATATAAGTATTACAAGCCACAAATCTCTTTTCCTTCCCTTTTTTTTCTCTCCTCCTCATAGAACTTTGGCTAAAGTATCATGCACCTAACAATTCCTCCACGGATTGTAATGGTACCTAAAGACCTCTTCGCCTATCCAGGCGTTCTGCCAGGTGTTAGAATTGGTTAACCGTTCTTACAAGGAAAGAGAAGACCCATTTAATCGCGCAGCTGGTCGGATAGATGATTGTCTGCGTTTCATGAATGGGGTACATACACTCATTACATACAGTACCATGTGCACGTGCTCTTTGGAGAAAGAAGTAGGGCAACGAAGGACAACAGACAAGAGATGAAGCGTGGGGATAGACTATGGTTATTATTACTATTCCAACGAGCGAAGATCTTTTACACAATGGAATTTCCCCACGGTGATTAGGAAAAAAAAAAAAAAAAAAGCACCCTACGAGGTGGCCACCGGCATGGTATGGGTGATTGATAGACGGACAGACAGATACATGGTGAATACTACTCGTGTACAGCGTTTCTTCTGTGCGTTCGGCTATAATGTAAATGTTGACGAAACTCCAGTCAATACTAAAATCGTTTCCAACCCGGGGGCTCCTATCGTTTGTTTTAATTGAAGTGCGGGCACGGTATGCCGTGATGTCAGGGGGGAACTGTTGTCGTGAGAGGAATTGAGACGTGTTTAGCACTGTTGGGAGTCGGTTGATTGTTAAGGCTTCTGGGTCAGACCACGGTGCCGCACGGTGCCGGTTCCAGCAAGAGACTTGTGCGGTTCCCGGTCCATAATTCACAAAAGAAAGAAAAATTGTTGCATGTGCGGCTCGGATCTAAATTTCGAGTGACTATTCATGAACATACCATAATCAAATTAGGCAACTTGCTTCTTCACGGAAGAAGTGACCAATCAATTAAATACATCCCATCCGGTATCAAGTCTCCTATCCTCCTTCCTCTTCTGCAATGAAATAACCTGACTGAATGAAAGACTGAGGGGAGGTTTTTTTTTTTTTGCTTTCAATTGCGAATCATGACATGGTACAAGAAATTCCCCATTCAAGACCCTCTGGATAGTAACCATTTGGCAAAGGAGATGGGATAGGGAAGAATAAGGGTTGAAGCTAACTGAGAGGGAGGCCATAAAAAATACACACTGAAGGAGAAAAAGGTTGCTTGAAATGGCCATGGACCAGCAAGCGTTTAATATGAAGACACAATGAAAGAAACGAGGATCGGAAAGAGGCAGAAATTAGAAGCTCATTTCCCCATGCCGGACAGTGATCCTGTTTCTCAGTGTGAATGACTTGGTTTAATCGAAACACCACAATCCGATCCTAACGATGACTTCGAAGTAATTTCTACAAATTTGGTGAGGGTGGAATTGGCTAGACGCTGGTACCGTTCGCGAGACCGACGGGGACCATGGGGGCATGGGGGACGCCATTTGGAGCATCTCCGAGCTGAACGTCCCCATCATCGTCTTCCTCATCGAGTTCTTCCGGATGTCTGTGTGTGGGTTGGTTGGTACAGTTCAAACCTCGCTGGCTGAGAAAGGAAACTCACCCGAGAAGATTGGCGACCTCCTTCATCTCATAGTGCCTGCGCCTCATTTCCTGGAACTTCCTATGCTTCTCCTCTTCCTCAGGAGTATCCAACCCCTCGTCATCGTCGCCATGGCGGTGATGATGGTCACCAATGTAGTCGTCTTTGACAACCACCTGCTTTGGCGAATGGCTCTCCCTGGCCTTCAGTGAGTTCTCGGGAACGGCCTCCTCAGGCTCGCCGAGTTCCAATCCGGGAATATCCTCGTCGGGCATAGCGTATTCCTTCTTTTTCCGTTTAGGCATGGAGCTAGGCCCCTCTCCCGCCTCGGCCTGCATAGCGTCAAGTTCGTCGACCACTAAATCCTCAGCATCAAGAATCCTCAACTCAGCTTCGTCCTCCAAAGGGTTGTAGCGCTTAGCATAAGGGGTCTTTGGTTCGGTGATTTTCATAGTGCTGGATTTCTGCTGCTCGGTCAAGTACAAGTTGGCCTCGTCCCACTTGAGACGTGGTGAAGCTTGCTCGTCAAGCTCGTGAACCGAGGATTGACGACGGGAAGCTGGGCGTCCGGCCTGGTTAGAGGATGAGCGACGACGACCGGCATTCTGGAGGGTATTCTGCAGGGTAATGTCCTTCTCGGAAAGTGAGGCCTCCATGGGGACGGAGGCGGGGATGTTCTCGGATGAAGGCGAGAGTGGAATGGCTGCCGTGGCCTCTTTGTCGGTGGGGGAACGATGGTAAGAAGCGGAATTCTTAAGAATACCTATCCGGGATTGTCAACGGTCGTGTGAGTGAGGAGATTGAAATGCACTAATTTTACCTCTTGGTCGCTTGTTTCCTGGGCCCTCCAGGGTTGGGGGAGAATGGGACTGCGACATGTTCATGATTGGCGGTTACTTGAAGATTCCGGGGGGAAATGCGAGGGGATTAAGTAGCCAGAGCTAGTAACTCCTCGAGTCCGTGTAGAAACTTTTATTTGGCGGGGTAAGGGGCTGTCGGGGTGTGGGTTTGGTGTCAATAGGCGGGGTTGTTTGGGCAAGCAGCGGTGAGGATAGCGGTGGTGGTACGATGGTTGTGACGGAGGTGAAGAGAAAGGTAAATGTAGCGGGGGAGAGGCTATAGTACTTAGGTGAAGAGGTTTCGGGAGGAGTTGGGGTATGTAGGCGAGAAAGGAGGAGTAGGTTTAGGAGGAGGAGAAAAGTGAAAGTTCCGAACCAAGATTTTTTCCTCTAACGAGAATGTGAGAGGGGGGGCAGGGGCCGGACAATATATACTGTTTTCCAGTCGAAGCCCAACCTGCACCATAATCGATGCCCGAACGGACGATCGTGAGTGACCTGACCTGACACAACCGCTGCGACAAACGACCAGATATAAATTATCTCCTCATCTGCTCATGGTCCCTTACACTTCTTTGCTGGTGGGTTGGGTGTTGGGGGAATTTTTATTTTTATTTTTATAATTATTCGTTACAGTGATAATTCTCTAGATTTTTTCTTGTTCCTCCCCTTTCGTTGGTCTTGGTGGTCTTGTCGGGTTATCATTCGAGGATAGGGCAAACAACGATGCAAGGAACAAGCTATGATAGCAGCTAGATATCGGTAGCAACTTAGGGAATGCTAAATCATGAGCGCTAACACTTGGTAGCTAAGGATTTCTCGTGAGACGTGAATAATAAAAAATAAGGAAACTAGCTACCAGCATCCAAGCAAGATGGACGGCTTGTCTCAGACCCATCGTACTGTACAGTACTGTACTGTACTCGAGTAAAGCACTGTGCTCGAGCACTTGTAGAAGTGCAAATATCGTAACTGGTGCTCCCTCCTGTCCTTCCCCAGCCTTCACGGGGTAGGGCGTTAGCCAGTTGATAAGACAATCGCCCGTAGCTCTAGCAGCCGGCAGCCATTGGAAGAACCAATAACACTACAGAAATTATCTGTAGGAGTGGGAAAAGAGCTCCCCCTGAAGTATGAGTAAAAGTGTGTGGTGCTGTGCTCACCTTCGTAAAGAGCTGGATAGAGGGGTTCTTTATTAGTTGCTTGTAATCGATACCTAGTATCATACTCGTAGCTACTGTTAGCTGAGAAAGATGTGATATTACTTCCGCCTTGCTTGACCGCTGAACGATGCCCCAGCACGATACGCCATCTCTATCCCCTACAATCTATCTCTAGTATCCACCGCACTTACCGTATCTGCATGTCTCGCCAGGGCAATCCCCCCACAAATCAGGTCTCGGTCAAATCATTGAATCGCAATGCTTGCTATCTTGCTTCCACTCGAGTCTTGAAGACTCTAGTCTACTGGTATGGATACTCGTATGTAAATTTAGCCTAGACTATCATACGAGTACCTCTCTCTCTCTCAACCTAACTTGTTATCGTCCACCCAAGGGGCCTTCCTCCCGTTCGGCTGTCTGCGGTTGTTATTCTCTCTCTCTTTTTTTTTTTTTTTTCAAAGAGCACGGGCTATGACGTTGTCATCCTGAAGATCAAGGGAGCAACCCTTGCAGTCTACCGTACCCACCCCCCCGCCCCGCCCCGCCCCGCCTTTCCTCCCTCCCCCTCTCGGGTTCTTTGCGAACAACAAACCCCCAACGGGGAGACACGCATAGCTTACTGCACCATGTAAATCTCCTGATTCGATCGTCACATCTGTACCCGTGAGAGAAAGAGGGTGGGAGGAGAAAAAGTTTTTCATTCGAGTGGGTGGAGGGGAGTCTGAGGTTATACCACTGCGTCGTGTGTAAAACGTTTGTACAAATATCATAGGTCCAGTATCGCGCCGCCAAGCGGTAGCATAAATTGCGGTACTCGTAGAATACGAGTATTGGTATGATGCTTCTATCGTGGGCAGATAAAGGAACGAACCTTTCCCCTCTCTATGGCTCCTATGATACCTCCGGCTCTAGAATAAATGCACAGGTATATAGGGCACCACAACCTCTGCGGCCGTCCGCCTTTTCCTCCCTTCATTCGGTCGCCCAGTCCACCTCTCCGCTTCACCCTAGCAACCCCCCAAGTCACGAGTATACCCATACTTCCTCCTCTTCCCCCTCCCCGCTTGGTACCATACCGGTACTGCACAATATGATAGAATGATGCTGGTAGTTTACCATACTCAGCCCCAGTACGTCAAAACAAACCTCCCTTCCGGTATCCCCGACCAGTGGGAGTCTTATCCTGTCCTTCCCTTAGGGAATTGGTGTCTATGCCTGGCGCGTCCCTGCATGTAAACTGTGTATGACGTCGGGGACCGGCTCAGCCGCTTAGAACTCATGGATAAAGGTGTGCTTGGGTGGTGTTGGGAATGCGTGGCCAGAGTGGGGGGGGGGTGCTACCGTAGATACTGCTTTGCGAGTGCTGTCTTGTGATTTGATGGGTCGTTTCCCGGCAGGGGCGGGATCGGAGATATGGTGTGGTCTGGCGGGATGGTGGAGGGTTGAAGTTTTTTTCCCGTGTGAGTGTACAATGTGGTGGGTGGGATTATTATACTTGGAACACACAAACTTTTGGCCACCAACAATATGCTGCGGGTGGCATTGGGAGAAGAAATACGAGTACTTAAGAGGGGGGGGAGTGATGCTTGCGAAGAGAGAGGGGTTCAGCTTCCTATTATTTCTATGATAGACATATTTACTGTATAATACACTGTCACTACCTCTATCCCTGGTCCTGATCCTGCGACCTCGGCCAACGCTCTCTAACATCCTGAAATTTGAAAACCGTCCTAACCCTTCCGTCTCCCAGCGCCTCATTATAGGTCTGCCAGACGGTCTCTACCTCCTCTTCCGCTCCCTGAGCTGGAACATCCTGGATACTTCCGATATCATGTTCATTCGTGGTCACATTCACATTTACCTTAGTTATGGTCTGCAATATCCTCATTTTTTCCTTCAGGTAGTTTGCCAGCGTTGGCTGCCTGGGGGTGATATATACTATCGCCTCCTGTCTCTCCCTGGCTGTCCCAGCCTGGGTTCGCAACTTGGATACCAGATCGAGGACGTAGCGCATTGGGGTTACCAATGAGGATTCGATCCTTGGGATGTGTTCTAGTATTGGGTAGGGCTCTCGCATGATGGTGTTTGCCTCGGCAGCCTGTCGCTCTGGATCGAGGCGCTGCCAGATGCTTTCTGTGAGGAACGGGGCGAAGGGGTGCATTAAGCGGACGAGGATGTCTAGGGCGTGGGTTGTTAGGCTTATGGCTAGTTGGCGCTTCTGTAAGGGTGGTTAGTGTATCTGGTTTGTAAACCCGGCGGCAATGCTGAGGACTTACTTTAGGGTCTGAGTCGGGGGCCATATCCGTTCTCTGAAACTCCAGGAATACGTCGCAGAAGTCATTGTAGATGAATGACCTGATTGACTTCGTAGCCTTATACAGGGCCCTGTCCTTAAAGGCCGTCCCGCAGGCTTCTGTGACTTCACGCAGACGATCGATCATAAACCAGTCATGCATATTGAGTGTTCTGCTAGTCAGTTGGGCGAAATCCTTTCTCGGAATGACCAGATCAATCGGAAGGATCGGGATGGGAGTCTTTGTCACTATTTCGGCATTGGCTTTGGCAAGATGTAAGTGCTTGACGGCGTTCCAGAGCTTTACATTGAGCTGCCGGAATGTGTTAACCTGTCTCAGATCCATTTTGATCTCCCTGGGCTTCAAAACAGATGAGAAAAGCTGGTTAGTCTCCATGTCCTAGGGCGTAGGGGCTAGCGTAGACAGACCTGTTTGGTGAAATCTATCAAAGCCATCCTTAGCGCATCCGCGCCGCTCTCACGAATACCGGTTGGCCCGTATAGAACTTTTGCCTCTTGCAGTTTTCTCTTGATTTCCTTCTCGAGGGGGTTGAATCGTTCTGGCACTCTTCTACATTTCTTGATCTCGTGCCTGTATTCCCTCTTGATGGTTCTAACAATCTCGTCCCGGGTTCGTCCGTTGATAACGGCCAGTGGGTCTAGCACGTTTCCCACTGATTTAGACATCTTCTTGCCATTGGCGTCGCATACTAGTGGGTGCAGGAGTATCTCTTTGAACGGAAGTTCTCCCACAAAATAGTAGCCTGTGTATTGTTAGTCACGTTGACTGATATCAAGTGATAATAACTCACATAGCATAGCCATTCTTGCCAACCAAAAGAACAAAATATCACCGCCGCTTTCAATGAAGCTCAGAGGATACTTGAGGGCGACTTCATCGCTATTTCCGCCATCCCACCCCGAAGTACTGAGCGGCAGAAGCCCGGATGAAAACCAGGTGTCAAGCACATCTGGATCTTGCTCAAGACTACAGCCATCTCTCTCCTCTGGTGTCATTTCAGCCCTGGCCTCCCACTCGCTAGCGGCTACGATCCATCTTCCAGGCACCTTGCCAGAAGGGTCGATAACTCGATACGCGGGTACACGGTGGCCCCACCATATCTGCCTCGACAAGCACCAATCCTGTGTCTCTTGCAGCCACTTAATCCAGGATTCCCTATACGGGTCGCCAGGCACGATCCTCAATACCCCGACCCTGGTGGCTTCTAAGGTCGCTTTTGCTAGTGATTCCATCTTCAGGTACCACTGCGGCCGTATCATTGGCTCAATGACGCAGCCAGAGCGTTCGCACGTAGCGATCCGCATGGGGTGCTCCTTTGCCCCGCGATACACATTTCGGTCTTCCAAGAGGGTTACAACTAGTCTCCGGGCTTCCAGGCGGTCTTTGCCAATGAGTGACTGGATTCTGGCTTCGGGTTTGATTCGCCCGGTCTCTGTAAAAAGGGCTACTAGGGGAATGTCGACTTCCCTGTCAGCGCCTGGGGAGGTGTGTCGTTTCCAGAATGCAAAGTCTCTGGGATCGTGACATGGCGTGATCTTGACCACCCCCGTGCCAAATTCCGGATCCACTAGCTCTGCGTCTGGGATGATCGGAAGCTTGACGTCTGGCAGTAAGGGGTGGTAAGCATATTTGTAGTGTAAATGCTGTTATTGGACGATTGATCAATTAGTGATAATTTCCTTTCGGGAGAATTTGTGGTATGTATGTTCGCACACCTTGTACCTCTCATCGTCGGGGTGGACGGCAATAGCTCTGTCTGCTGGGATTGTCTCAGGTCTTGTGGTCGAGACGACAATCTCCCCACTTCCGTCTTCTAGTGCATATGCGAAGGAATGGAGAACACCAAACTCAGCCCTAAAACAGTCAGCACTTTAGTCGCGAATCCGGAATAGAATACCCCCCATACTTGTCAATGATCGTCTTGCCCTCGATCTCCTTCCATACAACTTCAATGTCCGAAATAGCAGTTTGCAATTGCGGGCTCCAGTTTACCATCCTTGTATCCCGATAAATCATCCCGTCATTGTACAGCTTGACAAACGCCTTCGTAACCACTCCACTAAGATTCTTATCCAGTGTATAATACTCCAGACTCTTAGCAGTAGATATTCCCATCCTCTCCATTTGCCCCAGAATAGCACCACCATTCTCTTCCTTCCACTTATTAGCTTCCTCTACAAACCCTTCCCTTCCTAACTCCTCTTTCGTAAGCCCCCGCCTCACCTCCAGCATCCTCTCTACTACAGACTGCGTCGCTATGCCCGCGTGGTCAGTCCCCGGCCGCCAGAATACGTCGTAACCCTTCATGCGGTACCATCGTGCTAGAGCGTCTTGTATTGAGAGCATGAGCGCATGTCCGATGTGTAGTTGTCCGGTAACGTTTGGAGGCGGGAGAAGCATATGAATTTCCTTCTTGGGGCGATTCCTTCGGGGCTCGAAGAAGCCACGGGATACCCAGTAATCATACCAGCCGGCTTCAATCTCCGACTGATTTTGGAGATCAGCAACTCTCTCAAATCCCTATCCTATATGAAAGTCGATTGATCTTTACATAAGGAAACCTACCGGCACAAAATTCTTTCTGAAAAGGTCATTCTTGGGTTTGGGAACTGGTCTATCCGCTTTGGCTTCGCTTCTACTGGTGACGGGAGTCGTATTTGCGGTTAAACTTGCCAGGGTCCGTTTCGATAGAAATGACCTTGTGCAGGTTAGTGAGTGCCTGGAGGTTATCGGGGTGGTGCCTAGAGAGTGGAATTTGGAGCGCATGATTTCGGCGCGGATCCAAAGCCCCCTGGGTAGAAAAATTGAGTGGTTGTTTGGACCCCTCGTCTTGATCCGAGGCTTTTGTGTGGACGTTGGGTTATTGTCATGTCGAGTTCAAAACGTTTGAAGAGGAAATAAGAATTGCCACTAGTGAATGGAGCCCTAAGCCCTATCTATGATCCCGCAGGAAGTCCTTTCGGGAACCCATCTCAGAATATCACTCGAAATTAGGCTTTCTGAATTGCCCCTGTTGGATCTAGGGGTGGAGTAAGTGGCCTTTAGGGCATCCATCAGGTCCTGGTGTGTAAATTTAATAGTATCGGGGCCTATAATTTGAAAGTAATATGACGGTGCTGAGTATCATGATAATAATATCATAATACCATCGTACTTGTAATTATAAATTATTTGTTTCAAGGATATAGTATTCTCTTATAGGGTTGGTTCTGTGTTTAACGCCCAAAATCAACCACGGCCTCTTTAGCCAGCCATAATCAGAGCCATTCACCGTAAATCAAGAAAGGGGGGCTTAAGGCGACATGACTGTCAAGCGGAGTGGAGAAATGGTGGTTCGTCAGGTTTCGGCTGTTGGCTGTAAGCCGGACCTCGAGGGTTCTGGCAAGCATTGGCATTAAGCTTCCCCTTGAGCGCTGGGTTTAGGGCCGGTTGGCCACGCTGTATCTGTTTAATCATTTGAGACTAAATTGGCGTAATTCTGGGTCATCCTCTTCTCTTTCGCTTTTGGATTCCCGGTGTAGGCAGACTCGGGGAAGGAACTAGTAGGTGAATTGCCGGTATAAAGGGGGTTTGAGAAGCATACTTTCAGTATGATATGATGCTCCTAACACTTGTTATATGACTAATGCACATTTGTGACGTGATCTGATGGCTTTTTCATAGATTGAGCTCGTTCTTGCATTTGAGGAGAAAGATCATGAATTTCTGGAGAGTTCGAGTGGGATAGCATCAAACAATTACCTGCTGAAATCACGCCTGCTCACATCTCGTAGACCTCCCAGTTTAGTTCAGGGCTCGAGGAAGGCCGATGACCCCAACCGAATACAATACTAACCTTAATGTAAGTGTAGCATATAATATCTTCCTAAGCTGTATGTGATCAACCCTCTGAGTGATGGTCCCAAGAAACCTGGGCACTGTTCAACTGTCCCTGTGCTTGTTGGCGAAGCCGCCAAAATCAATTACGTTGACATCTTCTCGACCTACTGTGATTTCAGGATATTTCTTGCATTGCATGATGATGAAGGGCATTTTAACGCACACCCCGAGTGATATTCTGTGATACTCCTCCGGGAGTTTTGGAGAAGTCCTGTCTACAATTAGTTTTTGATGGGACAGAGGCGCCGCTGAAGCTTTGGTAATACTGCAGGGTTCTGTGGCCTTAGAGTGGTGGCATTTGGGGAAGTTGAGCAATGCCCCGGGAGCATGCTGGCCTGAAGAGTATGTTTGCGGGTTTCTTGGACAAAATTTCTGCCGTTGGAAGCTTAAACCCCGACCGCGGCATATGATGTAAGCTCCCGAATACAATCGTTGAGTCCCATAGTGCTTACTGCTCCCTCATGTTGGCGGAATGAGGCATGAAGATCGAGTCGGGAATGAGGTTTTTATTATTATTTCCTTTTCATCTTCTTTTCGCTATTCTTACTGAAACTTTGGGAATGGCTTGGCTGTGAGTGCGATTGGCTTTGTTGGTCATACTGTCTGATAGCGGGATTGGCTTCAAGGCTGGTGAAATGGGCCATTAAGTAGCAGATATGCAAGGAGCCAGTGCGGAAAATGGTGGAAATATAGACGCGGTGAGCCCAGGGGAGTGGGAAGTACGTTCTAGATTACTGAATTACGTGACTGTGCTATGAGGGTAAGGTTATGAAATGCTCTTTGAGTGGGAAAACTTGCGGGGAGGAGGGGCTCTGCTCTTCTGTCTGATTTCGCACTGTTTCTCATAATAGGCTATCTAGGGCATCCCGCCCTTGTCAATACATAACCCCTCTCTCCTCAAGTTTCCCTCGCAGAAAACGAAAAATAATCTATCATACTGACAAACAATTCTGGAGATCAGTTTTATAGCGTTGCCGAGTTGGTGGGCCCGCCAAGAGAAGCGAAACACCGCTACCCACGATTCCGAACCCCTGACACGAGCAAGCCGTAGGGAGAAGATTTCCTAATAGCTCCGGGAAATTCTTTGGGGATATATCATACCACTGTTTATTCGGTGACGGTCTGGTGTATGATAAACTAGTCAACCGGGAACAGCGAGGGTTAGACTAAGAAACAATCAACCTCAGCCAGAAACCCTAGAGAGAACCTCACTGGGCCAGGCTTCCGCGGCACCTACCGCCTCTCTCACATTATTGTGCGTTACGCCTAACTACCGCTCATCTTGACAGCCGCTCGGCGACAAGCCCTGTCCAGCCAGAACCCCACGGCTTTGACTTTGAATATTTTCTCTATCCCACAGAGCCTCCTAAGCTGGTGATGCTCACTCCTTGACCACATCTCCCCATTGCAACACTCCTCGGAGAACGACTATTTCGAGATGCCACCACCCCTGCACAGCTCCTCCCCTAGGAGGTTGCATTCAGGCGAAGAAGATTCGATTGAGAGCGATGACGAGGAGGTACAATTGGTTTGTGCTCATTTTGTTTTTGGCTATGTCTTCATATCCGGGGGATCTTAGGCGGATCCTTCTGATGGGTTTTAGGCGATGGTGTTAACGTTGAACAGGTTGCCGGTCGTACACCAAAGTCTCCACCATCACTCCCGCGCCCGGATCTGCTGGGCCACAAGACGGAGGAACTACAACATTTACCCAATGACCGTTTGAGGTACTTCACTCTTCTATTGACGGTTTGTTTGATATTTGGTTGTTGATGGAGTCAATCAGCAGAAGACGCGAGAGTTCAACCGCCGTCCTGATCCCGGTTCCCGGAAGCAGGCCACTACTGGTATGTTCATACAAATCTCACTTATATCACAAGGCACAACCTCTAATACCAGCACAGAGGGGGATCCACGGGCCTGTGAACACACTCAACAGACCACAACATTCACGCTCACCTGTGCAAAATAAGCGGAAGCTGACACAATCTGAGGCGTTGGCCGATCAATCATATCGCCCCAAAAGGCAGAAAGAGGAAGATTCAATCGTACTGAGAGATTTATCTAAGGCTACAAGTAGCTCCCGTTTTGCGATAAAAGGTACTTGCCATCCTCTGCCCCGTGGAATTGGTTTTAACCGGGCTTCAGATAGTGATGCGAAGAAATCAAAATATTTCCCTCAAACAGCAAGTGATGCTACGTTCGAATCTTTTCAGAGCAGCTCGCGGGCCGCAAGTGAGGAAACGAGCGATACAGCCGATTCGTTTGCAGCCCTTGTAAGTTCTATACCTGTGATGCCCACCCATAAAGGTTCACGAATCCACGGTGGCTCCTCTTGGGTCTCAAAGAGCAGCGACCCGCAGTATACTAGGTGGAAGACCACATCAAAGCGACCTCAAACTCGACCAAAAAAGCCTGTTTTCTTCCTTACTCGTTTTCAACGGGGCTCAACTGTTGAGGAAAACAAATGTTCTCATGATCATTGTAGAGGGCTGGTGATTGAAAAGTCTGATGCAAGGGATTCAAGGGAATACAAAGTAATGCATGGGTTTGAGGAGATTAAAAATTTGACCTTCCAGATCGACAAGATTCGAAATATAAATGTAGGCTCTATTCCATGCGTGTTGGGCTCTCACTTGTCCCCTACCTATTTTAGGATACTGAATATGAATAGCTAGGTGACCTGAAGAGGTGTGCCATCGATCTGAGGAGGGAACTGAGTGAGTATCCCACTAAGTCTTCTTGGGTGCTGTCCTAACTCTACTCAGGTTCCGAGTCGCAATCCCGCATCATGTTCACATTCAGAAACGAGAGTGATAGCGAGGCTTTTGTGCGGGATGCGAAGTTGGAAGATCTGGAGGCCAAACCCAAATCTGAATCCTGGTGGGGGGTCCGAGTGGATAGCCACGAGCTGTGGATGCGTAAAGACAAAGATAAGTTAACCCAAGAGCTGGTCATTGAACCAGTAGCCGAGCGCAGTCCGCCGACGCGTTTTCGGACTAAGAAACAGCCGATCGAGAGGGGAGTTATGTTGGATCCTTTTGAAGTTGTGATTCCAGCAGATTCAAAGAAACCACCTCCGCAAGCCAAGCGTCTCACAAGGAGAAATGTTGTGTCGAGTAATCTTGAAACCTCCGATGAGATTGAGAAGCTCCAAGAAGTTGAGAAGTCTGAGAAGATTAAGCGTCGACGTGGAAGCCCTACAGACGAGGTCGCAAGGTATCGGAAACAGTCGTTCACAATCAGTTCGCACCATGTTCTAACGTAAACCCTCAGGGAATCTCGGTCCCCCAAAGCCCGCAAGCTGGAGCTTCCTAAACCGAAATGGCTTTCCTCCCTTGTATATCCCTTTGAAGGTCCCAAAAGACAAGTGGTGGAGTATGAAGATTTGGCTAGGCTTGGCGCCGAGGAATTTCTCAACGACAATCTCATCAATTTCTATTTAAGGTTGGCTTTTTCCTAAAATTCTCTTGAACTAGTTACTGAGAGCCAAAAAAGGTACATTGAGGTAGAGTTGCAAAGGAGAGACCCTGATTTGGCCAAGGAGACCTATTTTCTCAACACATTTTTCTATGAAATCCTCGCTAGGAAGGGTGGGAAAGGGTGAGCATGGTTCAAATCCTGGTACGAAAAAGTATTTACTGACAACCCGGAAAAGCAAGAGAAACTTTGACAGTGTGTTGAAATGGACCGCCAAAGTGGATTTGTTTAACATGAACTATATTGTCATACCCATCAATGAATCGTATGCCCTCGTACCAGGTTATACAAGGGAAGGAAATACACTAACTACTTAGTTCCCACTGGTACCTTGCTATAATCTGTAACCTCCAGAACTTAGAACGCAAGATGCAAAACAATGCTCCCATGTCGCCTGCTAGTGCAAAAACAATTGATTTGGAGTCTTCATCGACAACGCTGGCTGATGATCGAGATGATAAAGAAGGGGGCCAGGATACGCTGGTTCACTTGTCTGACTCTGAGGAAACGGCAGCGCAGAACCTCCAAGCAAGTGCCCAAGCGAGTTTCAAAGGCGACGACTCCAGGGATATAGGTATAGTGGAAGGCAGTCTTGAACAAATGTCACTTGACGAGGATGAGTGGCCAAAAGAGGACTTGGATGAGCCTTTAGACCCCCGCCAGGCTATAGCGGAAGATCCTGCGGTTGAACTCGTTGCGTCAAAGACAGCTAAAGGGAAAGCAAGAGTTGAACGCCCTAACAGGGGAAGTGTGCCTGCTGATACGTAAGCTAACTCCGCAACACCTTGTTTGGCCTGAATTACGCTGACCTGCAAAGGCCGGCCATCATCATCCTCGATTCCATGGGGTATGGCTTAAGTTCCCGGCCTGCAACAATTAAAAATCTTAAAGACTACTTGGCTGCGGAGGCCCTTAGTAAGAGAAATCTAGAGATTACAAGAGGCGATATCAATGCTACTTATGCAAAGGTCAGTGTCTAAATTTAGTAAAGCTATCTTCGGAGGTTAACTCGGGTGATTAGGCTCCCAACCAGAATAACTACTACGATTGTGGGCCGTATCTCCTTCATTATGTTGAGAGGTTCTTTGAGCAGCCCAAGGAATTTGTCACCGCATTTTTGGCTAGGGAGGATGTGAAGCTAGATAAAGAGCTTTGGCGAAAGGATGAAATTAAGGGGATGCGATCCAAGATTTTCGATGTGATCGTGGGTTTGCGAGAACAATTCGAAGAATTTGAGCTTGCCAAAGCGACAGGAGAGGTAAAGGGAAATGGCATGAAGAGGGATGACAACGAGGTGGAAGCTATGACTAGGGCTAAATTTAAGGAGACTGAGGTCTCTGTTCGTGAGGAAGAGGACACAGCTGTGGAAATACAGGATGGGGACTGCATTATGGAAGGAGGAGCTATCCCAGACGGTCCGACGAACATATCAAATTTGTCATCACCAAGGTCAGTTATGAACGCCTCGAGATCCCCTGTTTCAAGGTCCCAGAAGAAGAGGGACGAGGGCTCTTCAAGGGCAGGAGAAGCTTTAGGTATTCGGAGCAAGCCCGGAGTCAGCGGAGTGGCCTGAACCAGCCAAGGAGGTGGAGTGGGGTGGATGGGGTAGGTCGTTTTCTGTGCGGACGTTTTCCTTAATAGCTGAATACCTGCATTTCTCGGATATTTTCAAATAAGTCATTGCATCCTGGTGGAGTTTCCCCCCCCCTTTTTTTTTTACCTTTATCTTCTATTTTCCTAATTTTTTTTTTTCCGACTTAGTTAGTTTCCCTTGCTTATTCCTTCTTCGTTTCATTTGGCACGTTCGGATAAAAAGCATGTCTCACTCCGGCGTTCAGTTGAATGGGCTTCTTTTTCCTTTCTCTCTTCTTTTTTTTCCTTCTTCACATTTCTTCCACCCCTGGATCACACCCATGTTCTAGCTATTCTTATCATGAGTTTTTCTTCCTTTATCTCCTATCCTTCTCTTGTTTTATGTACTGGTACCGTATTTACTCGGACAATCCACTATCAATAAGCAACAGAGCTAAACTGTGATAGGCTTAGTTGAGAAAGTTAACGAAGTCACGAACACCAATTGATAAGATGCACAAGTTTCATCTTGCTCAAGCCATACCACATCAGGTAAACACTATTCCTTCTTGAGGTGTTTTACCTCTAACGGCGCAGACCAGAGGCCTAACGGAGATAGTGGATTGTCCGAGTACGAGTAAATACGGTACTCGAGTTGTGGTGGTGTACTGGTGTGTACAGTACTGGTACTGTAGAGTACGTGTACCGTACTCGAGCAGTCTATGAATGGTGTGTATGCAATCTATGGCGTGCTACTCGAGTATAGGGCACTTGGAACCAACACTTCTGAGTGATTCACCTGCTTATATAATACCTACAAAATAGTGGGGCTTGGCAATAGTAACTTCAAAAGTGACCATACGAATGAATACATAAGTACTCGAGGATGGCGTTCAAAAAAGCTTTAGTAGTCGAGGTTGGGCCAACCGTTGGAGCAGGTGAAATCTCGTAATTTCTCCAAAGAATCGCGTTGGTATTACACGGTACTGTACATCCACTAACTATTGATACTCTTGCTGATGTTGCCACTCCACCCCGCCCCTCAAGCCGGATAGATAGTCTACATGTAAACGGCTAACTCCACTGACTCGGCAACTCTTCCACTTGTCGGTAGGCACCGGTCCCTTGAGTGCTGCTCTTTCCACCGGGCTTGGATTTGGTTAACAGGCACCTTAAATTCACATTTTGGCTTTTCATTCAACTCTTGCTAAAGTCCCAAAGGCATTCTGGATACACACTTCAACTTGGGGATAAGTTTCAACCATCTTGCAGTAGTATTGGCGGTTTCTGTGATCAGGCTGCTGCGCATCCGTGTTTACATAATCGGTGCGGGAACCTTGGCACGGCTGTGTCGCCACAACGTCAGAAGAGTGAAGTTTTGGTGAGCACAGTACTGTACTAGTACGAGTACTGTATCATACAGAACTTGGCGTTTGCATCACACGATCATACGGTACCGGTATGATACCTGTAAAACCTCCTATATCCCTCACATAAATATATCCACAACCAACCTAGTGGGCTGGGTAATCAAACTCCTTGTTCCAACCCGTCCATCAGGCGGGGGCTCGTCAAGTGTGCAAAGGAACACTAGTATTGATGAGTATCCATGGAAAAGGGTATCATAACTGTGGTAATCTGAAAATTTCCCACTTAGGGTGATAAATCAGAGCCCGAATCTACAGGAGAAGGTTCAGGATTCCAATCTACTCCAGCACTCAAATATTGCTCGCTGTGGAGTGAGTAATTCCTACACCCCGGATCTCGCAATGATCGAATAGCGGGTTTGTCGTGTTCTGATGGCGGCGGGAATTGGGGGGTTTTGGTGGCACCAGCAGAAATGATCGGGCGACAATGACGTCACCCAAAGTCTCGGGAATAGGGGTTGGATAAGTGATTTAGTCTACTTGTGGTAGACTATGTTTGATAGCTTCACGGCGTAACTTGGGCCACCGACATGTACCGGTACCTCATGTTCCGGTGACTTTACGAAACATCGAGTACTGTGCCATATCGAGCTAGTACGGTAACTTCAGCCAATGGGAAAGCAAAAGCAAAAAAGTCCAGGAAAGCTAACGGATACTGATCTGAGGAGGGAAAAAAGGGGGGGAAGCACAATGGAGATTGTATTGCTTTTTACTGAGAATCGGGGTTGAATTAATGGAATCAGGGTGACACTTCTCGTATCTTTTCAACAGCCCGCTCATCCATTCACCCACAATAGAAACCCCCATAACGAAAAAAATGGGGAAAGAAGGAATGAAAAGCAAAAAACGCACTGTATATCAAATGACTCAGTACACTAGACAAACGGACAAAGCAAGCCGACAAACAGAAGGAATAATATACTAGCAACCAGCTCACAGCAAATCAACCAATCGGCAAATAAATAAACGAATACCGAACCCTTCTAACGGTAACCACAAGAACCAGCTAATAATAAAAAGCACGGCGAAGCCTCGTGATCAATCAAGCAACAGTTGCAGGATTGTGCCCCTCACGAGACGATATACTCGCCTGACTACCGCTCGACGCTGGTGCTGATGGCGACGACGACGGCGTAGGGCCGGCATGAATCGAGTGTGCGGCTGTATCCATTTGGCGGCGGGTGTGTTCGTATAGGATTCTGGTATTCGCAACATAGTGTTAGCTCAGTCTTTAGAACGGATTGGGGGGAAGGCACCGGGCGTATTTATGGCGAGGGTCATCTTGTGTCGAAGGGTGAGGGGATATGGAGGGGGTGGTGGAGGGGGCGTATCCGCTGCCGTTTAGGTGGGGGTTTTCCGAGGAATGGAGTCTTGAAACGGTCATTTTGGTTGTTGGTTAGGGTGTAGTATAGGTGGGAGGGAGTTTGGCAGAGGTGGTGGTGTAGTGGGGGTAGGAGGTGGGAAGTAGTACCGGTAGTCGTGATGGCAGGTTTGTTAAATAGTCAGTTTCTTGGTTGACGGCAGGTAGGGGGGGAGTGATACCGGTATCTTATTGTACTCGAGTACGGTATGGTGTCGTCGGAATCGAATATAATGGACAATTGAACATCATTCCCGAGACTCCTTCTCTCCTTCGTTCCCACTTCCTTCCCAAGCAAATCGAAAAGCCTCGGGTACCTTTCGTCCCATATCAGAGAGGTCGCATGAGTGAAGAAGGTAGTGGAACAACAGCATTCCCCACCAAACAATAGGGGAAGTGGGAACAATCATCAACCGCCTAAAATTATGCAAAATTCAAGGCTCTGCATGGATAGTTTCTGAAATCTATGTAGATATCATAATTCCTAGAGGGAATTGAAAGTTCTTGCCAAACGAGTCCCCATCTACAACTGCCGGGTTCGAAATTAACTTAAGTTACCTTCCAATAGCGTGCCTAATAGGGATTTTTGAGTCGTAGCCCTAATTGCTCGAAATAACTGGTATGATACCATAATATTATTATCATAGAGCGAAAATCATATCTAACTTGTATTCCCAAAGCAAGGAAAGATAAAGTGGAGAAAGCAAGACCAGTATATGAAATCATTTTCACCCCAATGCCAAGCTCCAGGTTGATATATAATAAATGTGCGAAAACTCCCTATTATGGTGTGTTGTCCTCACTCGTATGGGATAGGTGTGAAAGATTCAAAAGTCTACCCCCGAATGACTGCGTATGTCGTCCTTCTTCCCCAAGACACCCACTGTCTTTCAAAGAATAAAAATAAGAATACGAGCATAGAGTAAGTCGACATCAACTCCTTCCTTTCCTTCTTCCCGTATATCTAGCTTCTTCCGCTAAAGCTGCCATCGAAAAACGATCCAATCCAATAGGGTAACGCACTGTAGGTTACCGGAATAAAAATGATCAGAGAGGCTCCCATAGCCAGTCTCACTACCCTTTATCATTCAATTCCGCTCTCCCGCCACAGTGGACCCCGCCTTACCAATGCGAACATGGCGAATTTCAACTTTTCCATGGTCTCCCCGTCGACCGTTTCCTTGACGTCCTTGAAACAGAAGGAGTGGGGAAAAAGCAATAAACACGCGAACGTCATGATCGGCAACCGGGTGGTGGGTATGTGGAGGACCCTTTTTCCTGCGCAAATCTTCCCGGCGGGCATTTGTGAAGGGAGGTGAAAAAGAGTAACGGGAGATCCGGTCTTGCACCAGCACTCAAGTACTCGTACTCGTACAGTACTATACTAGATTAGATTCCAGAATATTCTACGAGTATTTGATTGATCAAACAAATTGGGATAAAGTCTTGGCAATGACGATGATCTTCCTAGGTTGTTTACGGGCTAGTACCGGTATCATGCTCGTGTGCTTGCTTACTTGTGTATGATAGGGTTGGGCGAGATGTGGACACATACCGGTACGAGTACTGTTAGGCACTTGGAGGAAGTAACTATGGGGGTGTATGTTCTCAGTATGATTATATTGGGTTGGCTGGGCGCCGAGACAAATGAAGTGAAAGAACCAGGTTTGGTACGAGTGCTAATCTGTGATACGGGTGATTTATTACAAGTATCGCACTAGGATGGGGGATCTAGGAGGTTCTCGCTCTCAAGTCTCCCATGCATGCAGCAAGTGGTAAAATCCAGTCGAGTTAAAAACAAGCCACGTCCGCTCACTCGCGATAATCCCCATCTCGGTCCACATATCCATTGGCCCCACTATCCCCCAGTCCCAATCCCAATTCCACCCCGCCTCATCACATCCCGAGCCTCAATGTCTCCATGACCAGTGTGCGCCCTTTCCCCAATAAAAAGGCGATGATGACTCTGACGAAGATGAGAAATACCTCCCCACCGCCGCTAGAAATCAAGCCCGGCCCAAATAGTCGATAATCCTCCCGACGATCCCAGCGCACCCACCTGGTATCCCGTTGCCATCGGATCTTCAAAGCGCGACTCTCACCCGCATTGGCCGCCAGGGTCCCCCATACTATAGGCTGTCGGTTTCAAGGTTGCCTTCTTTCTTTGTTTTTTGGAGGGGGGGTAGTACAGTACGACGTAGCAAAGGATGGATTAGGTAAGTGATGAACAAGCCTGTGTGCTCAAGTACTCGAGTAGATGCGAGTGAGTGAATATGTGAGTGGATGTTGGGAAACAGTGCGGCAGCATACCTAAGTATGTGCCGGCATTGGGATGGATGGATGGGGTAAGCCAGGCACGTGCCGGGTCAGGGAGGAATGGGGGGAATGGAAGGAGTTTGGTTTTTATGGAATTTTGACACGTCGAGACCATTCTTTTCGTTTTTTCCTGGTTTTTGGTCTAGGACGTAGTCTAAGTTGATCACATTCGTGTTTGGTCCCGCCCCCTAGTCTACCGTGCCTCCATCTGCAAATGGGTGGATGGATATGTTAGATCGGACAAAGGACCATGACAGATTCTACAGGAGTGGGTGTAGGTTGGGAGGCGTGTTTTTGGAACAAGGAAGCCCTGCTCCGGGGAACTGGGATTGGGAATTAAAAAAGAAAGTGAAAAAGTGAAAAAACCCCTCTCGTTATAGCTAGCTAGACCAGGTTATTTGATGCACAGATCCCTAAAATATTACCACCGCTCCACATAAATTGGTATGGTACAAGTCCTCGTACAATACTCGTGCGGGGGGGGGGGAGAAAATGTAATGCCATGTACGCAGACGCCAGTTAAAGTAGCCACCGGAAAAGAGAATGAAATGTGAAAAAGAGGCGTCAAAAGGAAAATATCATGAAAGGATACAAATGTAGAAGGGAACAAAAGTGAATTGACGACCCATATCTAGCAGCCATATACGCCTATAGGAAATAATACACCAGACAACAAAACTTCCCGAATCAAAACAAATGAAATGACGTGAAACATGCGGTGGGGTACGATACAGATGTAAGCATCAACTAGGGAAGTGGGTTGGTGGATCTATCAGTTCGAGTTGGGTTTTGAGAGACGGGTTCGGGGTGACGAGAACCCGCTGGAGTAGTAGTTGCTGCTCTATCCACAGGAAGTGCACGTCCTCTGGTGACAGGGACTCCGCTCACGCGCTCCTCCATTCGGGCGAGTCGGGCTTCTCTCTCAAGAAGTTTGGACTGCAAGTTGGCGACCTGGCTCTTGTAATTGTCCAATTGGCTAGACACGTGTGCCTTGTGAAGTTCCAGGACAGTCGCTGCTGCTCTCCTTTCGAGGAGGACATTTTCGGCCTTCATCTGGTCCAGGTCCTTCCTGAGCTCTACTCCACTCGAGGTTGCGTTCTGGTATTGCTCGCGAAGGAACTCGAACTCTGTCTCTTTGACCTTTTCTCTCCTATCCATCGACTCCAACTTCTTTCGCAATTGCTCCTTCTCATCGCGCAACTGGCCTATGATTGGGAGGGGATCAGCAGCTGAGGACAAATCTGCCTTGGCCTGTTGGATGTCCAAATTTGCTTGCTTCAAATCCTCTCGCAGTCTCGAAACCTCGGAGTCCAGGCGCTTTTCTCTTGCCTCGGCCTTCGACAACGTCTTCACTAAACCGTCCTTCTCAGCTTGGAGAATCATAAAACTCTCTCTCTGCTTCTTGACGGTATCTTGTGTGAGGAGTGCAAAGTTTTTCCATTCTTGCAAAGCCTGCTTTCCCGCGGTCAATGTCTTCTTCAAATCTGCCGGTGCCTATTCGACAGTTAGCCACTAAGCAATCCTAGAGTTAGCGTACTCCGCTTACCATTTTATCAACCACCTCCTCTGTGATATACACCCACGATTTAGGAGGCCCATAGTCCGCGGTGTCGGTTGTTCCAACATCATCTCCATCAACTTGCATTGCTGAACCAGGTAAATGCGCCCCCAGTTCTGTCGGAGGAGTGGATTGGATCGGCGTCGGATCTTTGGCAGGAGTGGCAGTGCCCATTTGTTGGCACGACGAGGAAGGGGTAGGGGAATTAATGGGGCCGGCTATTCTCAAGCGTTTAGTCTGTATTGTTGATGCTGGTGGTGTCTGTCCTGAGGACTGTTTCTCAGCGGATTCACCCTTTATTTGGTTAGCGGTGACCACGTTTTGCGGGGATCAGACAAGAGGATATGTGCAGATACCTCTCGTTTGCGCTTATCGTGTAATTCTGGACTTTGGACTTGAGCTAAACGTTCGAAAATTGGCAGCAACGGGAACCCTTCTAGCTTTGGGGCTCCTGCAATTGGGTTCCTCGAGAGCCACTCAGCAATATTGGGTACTGCGGCAGCGAACGTCGGTTTGTAGGAATCTACTAGTGCTCCTGTATCATGTAGGAGGTTCTTCGTTGTCTCGATATATGTATACAATGCTGGATACTGGGGTTCGGAATCTTTATAACATAGCTCGATATGCTCCAGTGTATTAAGTGAAACAAGGCGGAGAACTGGGGCTAGCTTTCCGACTACAAACAAGCTCTTGCGAGCATTAACTATCTCCGGAACATCCGCAACAAAAGTTGAATCCATAGCGATGACCAAATCTGCGTTCACCTACAATATCTTAGTATCACTGCAATCCTTCAAGAGGATAAGACTCACCGGCACAGCTCCACTCTTACTTGATGGGAGCAGAGCTACCTTACTAAAGCCTCTCTGTTCACTAGCTGAAAGGCGGGGAAGTTGACTAAGTTTGTCGCGACGTGTACAGTGAACTTTGATACCTCGAAAGAATATCTCAAGCATATCCTATAAACCGGGTCAGCTAGGCCGACATTACCAGCAAAAGTCAAACCTTACAATCGTCCCACCAGGGCTGGCCACAATTTCAATCTTGAGAGACAACTCTGATATAGAGTCAAAGAGCTTTTTCAGAAACAAAAACTTTGGGCTCGTCATTATATAATTTTTAGATTCCCTCTCGAAATCCACATCCCTCAGATTTGTCTCCGCGCAAGAGAGGCTGGGGTGAACAGCAATCAAACGGCACTCAGCAGCCAACTTATCCATCTCTCCAGCAAGTTCCTCAGGTGCGGGAAACGGGTGATTTAGGAATTTGTCAATCACTTCAGATTTCGCAGTAATTGCGCTAATATAGGCAGCTCTCTGAGCGACGACTCCATTTGGAGAAGAATCGGTGCCTAATGGTAATCCAAGAAGGTATTCTTCAGCGCCTAAATTTGGCGAACCAAACATCGCCGGACTAGAGTAGTTATTAGAAAATGACCCAGCTCGTTCAGAGCCCAGAGCTAAGGGGGAGTTTCCTAGTGACAGGCTTTCGGATGCACTCCTTGGAGCTTTGACTGGAGCCTTCAATGCATCCCTATGGTTCCTTGCCAACTTTATTTTCTCATCGGTAGCCTTCCGATTTAACAGCAACTTTTCTCTAATCTCCGCCACGGTACGTGGCCGTGGCGAGGGTGCGGGAGGAGCTTTGCCCGTATTTTCTGACATTCTCCCGTCAAATGGCACTTTGTATTGCAGAGCCAACCCGAAGCTGTTTATATGGGTTAACTTAGGGAATGAGCTGAGAAGAGGGTAAGTTATATGACTCACGTGATGAGGAAGATTTGGCGTGTGAGGCTCCGGTCAAAACAGAAGCCGAGTAGGCTGAGGTTGAGCGAGTTACGTAAGGAAGAAAAAGAAAGGGGTCGAATGATTTTTTTAATTTTATGATTAAATTTTTACAAGCCACCGGAACCCTAGCTCTGGCAGCAAAATTCTGGTAGTGTGACTGGTGTGTACTGCGTGTACCGGCACCGGTAGGGGTAGAGGGCCTTGTGGTTTAGGTTGTGGTTTTGTGGGTGGGTGTTGCAGTCGAGGTGAGCTCGCTTGTGCCGCAAAAAGTCGTTGGTGTGGTTTTAGGTTGAAGAACCTCAATTCGCCACAAGTTGCGTGCGCAGCGCGCGCGCGGGCTAGGTGGGGTTATTGCCCGGGACGATCAGGCTTTTCTGACGGCCTTCGGTGCTGTGGGGTATTGAACTGTAACTGTACTGGAACAGGTATGATATTGTATGATGCCAGCACGCAAACACCGGTATCATATAGGGGGGCTTTTGTCGGATAGTTTTTATCTCACGGCGGAGAGTGTAACTCGAATTTTCCAGAAGTCGTGATAGGCACGGTAAGTTTGTCACTACCGATATTTTCAAATACTGGCACTTTATAATGAGGGCCTGAACTCCGTCCGACCCTAGGGGGATATCCACTGACGAAGCTCCCGACTTGCAGGTTGGAAGGTTTGTCGATACGATAATATGCTAACCAATTTCTCAGTCTCCTGTTTCTACTGTGACCCTAAAGAGCTTGATGGGTGCTGGAGCGGGGAATCTAGCTTTAATTGCTCGATATGATCATCTGTGAAGGCCTTCCCTACCTGCCCTTTAATTGGCTGTGCCATACCGTCGCTCGAATGAGGGGTTCTTGAGAGTCGGGGCGGCCATGGTTCGGCGAGAAAGGAGTTTGTTTAAAGAGGGTCATAAGAACATGAAGTTATTTTCTGTCTGCGTGTTTGCGGAGGGATCGAGAATAGATGGTTGGGCTCTCACCTTGGGTCTGGATACCTGCAGGTCCTGGGTTTTGCGCCAGGGGTAAAGGTACTTGTACACCACTAGTACTGACATTTACGCGGGTAAAATGCAGGATTTCTAGTACCGTATTGGTGTTTGCTTGATACGGTACCCACTGTGCGGTTCTGTGCGCGGAGACCAGCAGACAATCGGATTGAGATGGCATTCTCACAATGAAATTGTTAGAGGAAGTGTTGGTGTTTCGTCACGTGAGACGGTTGAGATTACAAAATGATGCGTGTGCACGCGAGTACCGGCACTGCTGTACGAGTATCGTACTGTACTCGTACTTGGTGCTCGCATGGTGGGCTAGACTAGACAAGAGGAGTCCACTATCCACTCGAGTATCATACAAGTATGATACTGTACTCGAGTAACTTAATCAATGATGCTTACTCGATTCCCCTGGAAAGTGTTGATCATACCAGTACCGGTACCCGAGTACTGTACCCTACTACTACCGGTACTCTACTCGAGTACCGATATGCTCCTATTCCCAAGTGCCAGGACTGAAGCAGACAAATTTCCCACCCCGGCAAGAACCTTTATTACATACAAGTAGATCTTGTCAACCCGAAATAGCCTTGGAACTGAAACCGAAACCCTGGTAGTATGGCGGCCTAAGCAGTCTTTTCTAGAGCAGGTCTTAGGAGCCTGCTGGTTCCGGATATTAACCCACCTTCGAATATCATCGATACACTGGGACACCATAGGAACGAAGTGAAGGGTGTTGGAGCTATAATATGACACTTTGCGAGTACTCTACAGTACAGTTTAAAGTTATCTGAGGAGCGGGACCTTCGCCCGTATACTTTCGAGCGAGGCCCAACAAAGCTAGGTGTAGCCGGGACCTAGCAGGTAATCTACTCGCATAGGCGGGTGAAAGCGTGTATCTCCCTCAGATTCGCCGGTCCATGTTATGATACAGCATCCTATGATACTACTGTAACTTAGTAAGGGATTTCTTAGCATCTCTGGCCTCCATGATGCTGTTACGAGTACTTGCGGTTTGTAAGTACTAATACTGTAGAATACAACACCAAATTGTACGAGTAATCACTATCCTTGGAATTTCCGTATACCGGTAAACCCATCACCAATCACCCGCCAGAACCTGGGAATCTAGTGATCGGTCTCTTGTTCCTTCTAATGAGCCAAACTCTCATCCCATCGGACCAACGAACCCTTTTGATCTCCTCGCATTTCAGCCGCATACCCAAACACCAACGATCCTCCAGGTTCACTGCACCTTGAACTCGGATTTTTCGGTGGGGAGGTTTCTCCCATCTCTTGCACCCGCAAAATTAACAAAATTAATTCAATTCCGAAATTATAAATAAATCTATAAACAAAAAAAAAGTTAAAAAAAAAATAGAAAAAAAAGAAAAAGAAAAAGAAAAGAAAAGTCTACAGATTCACCACCACCGCTACCGAAAACGATGTCCGAAACCGATTCCTCATTGCCCTCAAAGCAAGTTCCCCTGGCATCTCTCGCTCCTGGCACCTATGACAACGAACCCGGATTCTTTGTCGCAATTATTAGCCTCCTCTGGCCCTTTTCACCTAGCAGCTCTTCTCTATCCATTTTAGCATCCGAGAAGGATTTTCGCTTGCGTAAGAACCGAGGGCAGGTTAGGGTCAATTTTACTGGTCTCGCAGCGTCGGTAGTGGACCAGACGAAGCTTCAAATTGGGGACCGCGTGATCATCTCGTTGGAAGGGGTCGAGTTTCAACCACTAGACGATGCCACCGAAAGGGATGTTCCATGGGTCGTGGTGTACTCGACTAGATTGGCTATGAAGGTAACTCAACCTTGCTCTTGCAACCCGTACAGGCTTCTACCGTACTAAACGAAACGCTCTTTAGGTGAAGACGACATCCGGCTGGTCCACAATTAACATCGCACCGGATTTGGAGGCATCTCCTACACTCGCAAGCCAGGCCCTTCCGACCACACTAGAAGACACGCGAGCTCTTCCCCCTTCGACACCACTTTCGACCAAGCCGTTCTCGTTTTCAGAGGGCGAGAATGAGTGGAGTACTCCTGGCCTTTTCAAGCGCTCCATAACATGGCTTTCCAACGAGCCGTCATCATCACCACTCCCAACAGAATCACTCTTTGGGGGCGACGATGACTATGACTTGGAGCATAGGAGTAAGCGGCCGAGATTTAGCAACTCATTTCGACTATTAGAGCGGGGGGAGGTTACAGAAGGAGAATCAGAGGGATTAGATGAGGAAATCTCGACGAGAAGCCCCAAGGGCAAGGGCAAACAAGCGCCTAAAGCAGGGACCAGTGGAATGGAACGTGAGGATCAAATCGGGGACGGTAATGTGAGCTCTGTGCGAATTGGTACCTCAGAGGAGATGTCAGTTGATGCAACAGAGGCTGCGGGAGCTGGCAAGACACCAGATCGGCGAATGAGAATTCCCATGCCCCCACCACCCCTGTCTCCTCTGGATACTAGAATGGGTGGAGAAGATATGCCGGATTCGCCATCATTACGCCCTGTTCTGTCCGCCAACCTCCCACTTATCTCCCCATTTATGAATCGTGGATTATCTGGGGCTGATTACATGAGTCTGAACGATACTCCGACTACCAATACCGAGCCCGAAGGAATACCCGTTCCCATAAGCTCTGATATTACTGGCACGACCCCCACTCCTGGTCAAGCTATCTTAACGATGGCGAGGGGGGAGGTGATACCTAAACCGAGCACACCTGAGGCCACCAACTATCTATCCGTTTCGGACCAGCGGAGGGCTTCACTCTCTGATGATGAGAGGCAACTAAGTGATATTGACAGTGAGAAAGATTCGCTCTTTGATGAGCCCTCTGATGGTGAGACTGCTCACCATCTGGCGCAGAGACGAAAGATGAACGCAAGGTTCGCAACCACCTCTCAGCCCTCTAAGCTCAGTATAGAGATCACTTCTTCGAGGATGAGTGAAAATTTCGCAACACCACGCTCAGGGAAACCAAAAACGCCCTTCCTTTATCTGCCCACGCCATCGCCAAAAGTTGAGAAACGTTCCTTGCATTTCCCTACCAGTGCCCTTCCAAAAATCAGTTCGGGTTACTCGGGAACAAATGACGGTTTCGAATTTAGGTCTCCAACTGAAGGGAGGAGGTCCTTTCTGTGGGGAGAGGGGAGAGGGTCATTTCCTAGCAACCTTTCGGCTTACTTTGGCCGTCCGGTGGAGAGCGAGGATACAGGGGTGGATCATGAATCCCCCTCCTCAGAGAAGCACGACAATAACTCTGAATGCCAGTCTTCAGGCAGTAGATCGGTAAATGACTCTAACTCTAATCCAGAAACCGTAGCGGAATCGGATCTGGGCGGTCAACAATCAGACTCTGCCTCTGAGTTCGAGTCGGGTGTTACTACAAACGTAAGCCGCACACATAGAGTCGATTTATGTAATGTTTTTGCTAACTTCTAACGCTGCAGCTATCGGATTTCCCAGCCTTGTGTTCTCTAACTTGGGGCGCGCTGGTTGACATCATCGGAGTGGTAACACGGAGAAAACCTATCCAACGAGCCAAAGGCGGACAAAAAGATTTCTTCATCTCCATGAGATTGGTCGATTCATCAACCCCCTACGGAATAGCAGCCACGGCTCTCAGGCCTCACAAAGAGGCCCTGCCAATTGTGGAAGTGGGGGATGTGGTGCTCCTCCGGGAATTCAAAGTATGGGATCCCGGGCTCGCCTCGTATTTATTTTATTTTTATTTTTATTTGTGCCTTCCTAGCCTTAGATGACTACTAACTAACTAGCGACTGTTGTTCCAGATATCCTCCGTGAAACGTAGCCTTGTGGCTACATCCACATCCAATTCTGCATGGGCCGTTTGGAAAAATCTGGGGAAAGAGAGGGCAGCCGTTGTGTCAGGCCCTCCAGTCGAATACGGCCCAGAGGAGGAAAAATATGTGGAAGGGATTGGAAAATGGTATGGTTCTTTAGATGCAGGCACACGTGAGGATCTTGAGAACGATAGCGGGGATGAGTCGGGGGAGGCTGCGAGCGAGGAATAGATGGTGGATCCGAGAGGCACATTGGGTGCAGGATCAGATAAGGGCTGCTGTCGCGCTTCCGCAAGTACCGGTAACACTGGTGCGGTATGATACAGTACCGCGCAGTGTATAAGATACCGGAGCTACCGGAACTAGGAGAAATTAAATGAATGACGAATCATAAATGAATTCCCCCGCGCATGATGTATGGTGCTAGGGCGAATGGGGTGCAGGTTACCGCGTTCTCCCAGCCTTTTTTATCTTAGATTGCCCAGGCATAGCACATGCGAAAATAGTTTAGCGTTGTTACTTTGAAATGAAAATTTTTATCAGACCATCTGTTAAGTCTAATCGATCCGGATCAGATTAGCAAGTGGAGAACGCGCTTCCTTCTCTGCCCCCCAGAGTGTGAGTCTAACCAAACATGAATTCAGCAAACAGGCAGAGTAAGTCCTCTTAAATGCCCCCCCTTCCATCCCCCCCAATCTCCCCAGTCCGAGAACTCCCTTCACACACATACTACCGAACTCTTTGAATCTTTCTTAAACCCTAGATCCCCCCCCCAACATCTGTTATCCTCTTTCCACACCCTTTCTTGGGGATGCCGCCGATACCAATATCACTTCTCTCGATAAACAGCTTTGCCCCAAGATATTCCTTTTTTCCATCCTGTTATCCCGCTAATCCGCCATCGACGCCGTTGAAACAACTGTCGTAAAAATGTCGGGTGGTTCCATGTCCCCGATTTGTAAGTAGTATCTTGTTTGACGGATTATCACTCGGTATTTCACCCCAACTAACTATTTTCCAAGCGATCTCCTCGCCATTGTCTGCGAGTAGTCCCGGGCCGCCAGCTCTTGCTCCTAGAGCCTCCTCAGTTGTTAGTAACGGTGCTGCTGCTCCGAATACTATTGTTACGCACAAGGAGTGGGTTGTCCCACCACGCCCCAAGGTTAGTCATTCCGGGAATGGTGACAGAGGGATTGGATTAGGTATTGATTTTAGTACTCTAGCCTGGGAGGAAGGCTTCCACTGAGACTCCACCAACGGTAAGCTCTGGTGGTGTAATGCAATAGCAGCGCAAAGCTCACGTTGTGCAGAAGCGAAAGGCTCAAAACCGGGCGGCCCAACGGGCGTTTAGAGAACGCAAGGCTGCTAGGGTCAACGAACTGGAGGACAAACTCAAAGAATTACAGGCCGATCATGAAAGCCACGATCGAGTTTCCAGGGATCAAATCCAGCAGTTAACGGAGGATCATGTGCGTCTGACGAAGGAACTTGCGGAATACAAAATAAGGATGGAAAGTCTCCAGAAAGAACTCGATTTAATCCGGCAATTAAAATCTGAGGATCAAGCGTCGAATTCAGTTGCTCAAGTTGCATCGCCGGCCCCATCTTCGGGCCGTGACACCTCCTGTGGAGGGAATTGTACCTGCACAGATGAATTAGATCAGCTGCTGTGTGTCAAGAAGACCGCTGTCACTTTGAGCGCTTCGTCTGTCCCACTCCGCCGCAGGAGCGGACAAAAAAACCCACAGCCTTCCCCAGAAAGCAGCCGAGTTTTAGATCCTACAGGCTGTGGTCGATGCTCGAGAGAAGGGTTATGTGCTTGTATGACTGAAATTGCTGCAGCAGGACCTTCGATAAAAAGGCCCACGTCTCCTAGTCAGAATACACCGAAGCGTACTCGCACAGGGGATTATGCCGAGCACGGTTCTAAGGAGCTCGAGATTGACTTTACAGATGCATATTTGACTAAATCAACACCAAATCCTCCGATCACTCAGATGCCGGACCCCTGTGGGTTTTGCTCGGATGGGACGCCTTGTGTTTGTGCCGAGGTTGCGAACTCCTTGATTGAAAATGATGACTCTGAGGAGAACCACAGCACCAAGTTACCACCTTTAAGAGATGGACATGGCTCGGTTTTAACGAGTCATACTCAGCAAGGGCTCGAGAGACCTGTAGCTTTATACCCCCCGATGAATACTAGTGCTGTGAAACTCACTTCTCGGCCGAGCGGTTGCCAACCCGGAGGCTGCGCGCAATGTCAGAACGACCCATTATCAACCCTGTTCTGTCAATCGGTGGCTACGAAAATGGATGGTGCCGAAAAATCAGGGTGCTGTAGAGGAGGCTTATGTGGTGGTGATATTGGAGGCTCAAGGCCAAGTGTTGGCGACAGCAAAGAGAAGGGAAAAGTCGATGAAGGTGCCTCGGAGAAGGGAACGTTCATCCCCTGCAGTGCAGCATACCAGACACTCTCCCGCCATCGCGCATTCGAGGATGCAACGACTGACCTGGGCAGTCTTGTTCGTCCTCTAATGGTACGGAGTCTGGACGGAAGTTGCCCTCAGATTGAGGTTTCAAGTATTCGGGAGGTACTCAGAAGGCTAGATAGAGGGTTTGGCTCGGATGCGGGCAAGTATACGAAATAATGAATGGCTAGAATGGTTCCGGGGCGCGGCGTATTCGGCTTTACTCTTATTCTTGCTTGGGGATTTTTTGTGGATATTTATTATGATAGCAGTGCGATCTTGAGGTCCTGTGTTTGGGATGAACGATCAGTCTCTCCTGTGCAGCACTGTACGAGTACAGTATCCTGCAAAGCCGGCAGCAAGGCATGTGCAGAGATACGACATGTGACTTTGCGGTATCGAGGTGGGAAAATAAAATAAATAAAAAAGTAATAAAAAAGAGAGAAGAAAATTTAAGGCAGTGTACCGGTATCATAACTGGGTTATTAAATTTCTATCGCCAAGGTGGAGTCATTTTTCAGAATTCTAACCTCTCGCAATGGGGCCATCGTATTTAACTATCCCGCAATTAATTCCCGCAAACCACCAGAGATGGAACAGGTCATTTTTTTAGATTGTTGATCACCATACTCGGTTAAATCGCGGCAGGAACAAGTGGGGCATAATCTTGTCTAAGTTATATGGCGAGCCTTCATTAGTAGCCAGAGGAATAAGGAGAGCAAAATATTGAAGTGTCTTAACTTACGAGAGAGGACTTGGGTGAGGATTTTGTCAGACCAAGTTAGTTATCATACAAGTAACTTAGAGCAGAGCAGTCTTGCCAACAATTACGATACCGGTAACATACTTACCATGCTGCGCCCTTGGAATATGGAATTTGAACGAAACATCCACTGGCCGGCTTGCGATACGGGTAACCATCTTCCTTCCTCCCTTTCGGGGTAACTTTATTTTTCCTTTCGTTGCGCAAGGCATCTGTTCTCACTAGAGTCATGAGCTCTACTAGCCCAGTGCGGTGCCGCAGGGCACACACAAGGACGACACTAAATCATCGGTTTTGGAGATGAGGAGAAACTTATCATACGAACGTTGCGATAACTTGTGCGATGGTCCAGCCAATCCATCAAGAGTCCACACGGGGCAGAAACCACAAACCCCCATAATTCGACCAAAGTCCCATCAGACCGAGTGAGAGTTTGTGACCACTACACTCCCGCCAAGATTCCCCTCTCGGCCCGATATCGCACGCTTCCCGCCCACGACCTGGTGTGCTTGTGGTGGCCTCCTCCGAATATCATGACTTACCCCCGCCAGTATAGTGAATGAGAAATGGTATCGTATCATTTTTCGTAGGAGCCGGATTGGAGCGAAGTTAAGGGCAACTCCCCCCCCAGCTGCTACGGATGGGTAGACACGGTAGGGTTATAGGGGATACCGATATCCCCGATATGTTGTTATGGCAGTTGAGGATTGGGGGGGGGGCTTCGGCGGAGAAGTGGGGTTTAGTGCTGAGCTTCGGCATCCCGGGATTGGTACGCTTAGGGCTTCGGTTATCCTGCCTTCTGACAAGATTATTGTTTTTAGATATAGGGTGCTCGAGCACACCCCCTGCTGTGCAATATCATGACCGTAATGTGTGATTTATAGTCCAACTACCGTAATTCCGAATGATCGGATACTATGCTCTACCTACCATTGGAGATGTCACGCCCCCTCCGGCAATCCTAATGCTGCTTCCTATTTCCCTAAACGACTGAACGACTCCCTCCCTCCCCCACACTATCCTCTCTGCCTCTTTTCCGGTGAAGGAGGTCTTAGACGGACCGGAAAGTAGTTACATATGATAGCACAGCATTCGGCTAGGAGTATTCGAGACTCCACGGCATGCGCTGCACCACAATGGGCGCCTTAACTCGCTATCATGATGACTCCACCTTCCCCAGAAAACAACTCACAAGGTATCACTCGACTTCCCTCACTCCCACAATCCACGGTCATGCCCACACACCTCATCTCCGGAAACGAAAAGGAACAAAAAAAACAAGAAATAAGTTATTCCGCACCAAAACAGACAACAGGATATACTCGCCCGGCTTGCACACCCCCGTACCGACTTCACCCTGGCTGAGCGCTCCTTTTCGGGCCGGGCTAACTTATGATACTACTTATACCATGACAGGGGGAGAACGCTGCCGGTGCGGTTTGGAACATCACAGGCGGCGCGCTGAGCGAGATTTTGCGCGATATTATACGACGCTCGTATCATATGGTTGGTACTGTACCGGAGTGAGTAGGGAGTATCACGGTAGTTGTGTTCTGCCAATAAATTGCCAGATAGCACACGGCACAGACATGCATATGCAAAAACTAGGTAACTGGGCCTATCGTGGCAGGCTTGGTAACAACGACATTCCCGATCTAGGGGTAGGACGGGTAGTTGGATTTTGATGTTTTTTGTATAATATATATATACATACCCCTAGCTAATCGGCTGAAGTTAATTTGGTGATAAATTGGAATGCTCGGTGCAAAGCACTGGGACTTGATTTGCTTATTTAATTTGAAAAGATACGGGGTGTTTGCCACGAATGATATTCTACACTCTCAATTCACCCCCCCCCGGCGAGCAGGCTGTCAAAGGTTTAGAACCACATCCTGGCAACTGACTTTGCTATCCTTCACCACTCCCGCCTCTCTGAGCACGTCGAGGGTCTTATTGAGGTCGTTCTCGTCAACCTCTCGCACGTCACTTGCAAACTTTACGGTGCCTAGCCATTCCCGGGCATCTTCTTTAGAATAATCCAGGTGTGCTGATATGTACTCCACCGCCTCATCTTCGTGGTCGCTAAAGTAGGCGATTCCTTCGTTCACCGCTTCTAGGAACAGACTAACGGTAGCAGTTGGTAGGCTATTCGAGGCGACGATGTGCCAGGATGGCCAGGGTGTGTATATTTCGCCGAGTTTTTTAACCTCGTTAGAGTCGTAGTATTTTCTGTGAAAGTCAATCACTGGAAGACATAGGTTAAGGTATGGGTTGTCAAGGGGAGGTTACTTAGAAGTGTAGTGTTCCCACATAAAAGCATCCGCCTTCCCAGCTGTAGGTGTTTTCCACGAGCGTCAGCTCATGATTCCCCTTCACCCAGTCCTTCCAAAAATCAAATCATCTATGGGAAAAAACGAGAAAAAGGAAGAAAAGAACACAAACAATTAACTCCATCCCTCAACCCCTTGAAATCGTCCAAGATCACAAATTCAAACGGCTCCTTCCCCTCTCTCAACCACCCATGAGCCTGGGCTAGCACAAACCCCATAACATAGCTTCCGCTCCCAATCCTTGAAACTCCCAACTTCCCACCGGCTAGTTTCTCCACGTCGTCAATCCCTTGCTGCGTCCCCGTGGAAATCGCCCAGCACAGCGGCGTGGCAACGTACTTGCCTGCTATCTTGAAGTCGCTGTTGCCATTCGCGATCGCCGAGATCCAGCCTTCGGTTAGGCCAATTGCGATGGAGATTTCGCCCGAGGAGAGGGACTTGACCATGTGCCCTGTGCCCGACGGAAAGGGTATCAAGGTGACCGAGAGGGAGCGAGAGGCGAAGAAGCCATGGGCCTCGGCGAAGTGGAGGGGGGTAGAGAAGTGCTCTGTAAGTTGTCAATTTGTTAGCACTTTATGGATATACACCCGTGAAAGGGGAGATAAGGGGTAGCTAACCGGGAACATATCCTATTTTGATACCCATTTTCCTAAAGATGAGGTCGTGATTGGTGTTTTGATAAGGATTTAGAGCTTCAGATTTGAAGCTTCGACAAGTTGGTTGGATAGTAGACTATGGCATGCTGGCTTTCTGCTACTGCATGGCAGCGGGGTTGCAGCCGGTATTATCGCGAGGCTTACTAAATTTTACATCACTCCTCCTCTAGACTCCTCCCTAGATCGGAGTACCGGTATTATTCACTAGTAAAACAACGGGGACCCCACTAGGCATCTAAGGATGTAATGTGTGCCCAAAAACTGGGTGATTTTTCCATTACGGCAGCATATACTCTATGTGAGCAGAAATCTATAGGTTCGGGTGAGTCGTCGGGCAGAAACTATCCAGACAGCAGCTGCACCGAGTGATAAATGGTGACGCAAGCTATCCCTCCAAATCTATATCCGGAACAGAGGATCGTAAATCACACTCTATAGCCCGGGTAGCACCAGATGTACCTCTAAACCGCGGATTTACGGACCCATACAGCAGGCAACCATATTATTCATTCTGCGAAACTAGAGCATGAGCGCTGGAGCTACAACTCGTGAACAGAATTAGAGGAGATAGCATTAGTGCAGGACCTGATCACTCCGGAACTACCTCCCCCTACCGGTCCGACATTATGGTAACCACCACGGCCTTGTAACCCATCATCCGCTACTACAACACTTTCAGGGGAAGCTGGTAATGCCGGAGGGTTTAAATAACGAGACGATGGCCAAAAGAGTGCTCGTAAACGCCCCAAAGCGAACGTAAATGGCGTAGTAATCTCAACCGTATTTCTACCACTTGTCATGGAGGTCTCCACCAGCCTCCCCGTATAAGCCGCTTTCCCGAAAGGGGCATGGTAGGGGAATGAGTAGGATGGGCTAAGATTATCTACAGACCTGAGGTGGCGCTCTTCGTTAATCTAACCCTTAAGGAAAGCTAGTCTTTTTATTAGTCCACGTCATTTTAGTCTCGGGTATCGGAGCATACTCGAGTAGAGAGCAATGACTACTATGCATATCTCTTAATTCGAGACCCATGCTCATCAAGGACAGGCAGAACGAGAAGTGAGGAGTGCAACAGCATGTCACACAGAGGAGGTACGAGGAGTGCTAGTCTAGATGTCCGTCAATTCTTTTATCGATCCTTCAACTCCTACGAACCTATGCTAAGGGCCGGAAGGAGCAAAAAATCTACAATAAGCCATGAGAGTGACACTTCTGCAATGGAAGAACTCCCATTTACTCTCATCTGGGGTCAAAACTGGCGCTACCGTACGAGTCATGCTTTGGGCTATCTGTATGTGCACCGATGGATCAAAAGGGTTCAAAAAGAAATGATTTGGGCGCGATTCGAACGCGCGCTCTTTCGAACTACGGATTTTGATCAGATAGACCTAAACGTAGCGCCTTAGACCACTCGGCCACCAAACCACATGAGACATTGATCTCTTGCGATATATTCACATTTATTGTGTTATTCACATAGAATGCTTGTCGACATGACCATTAAATTTCTCCCTCCCTCCCCGAACACCATAATCAAACTAAACCCAAACAAGCATTTGCCCTATACCATTTCTAGAGGCATATGAGGTCTCTGTTCTGTAATTCGATGTATGAATATTATCATAGATGACTCTTGTCCCCAGAGTCGTTGAACCACTGGGTTAGGGGTATCATAAATGCAGCTGCTTAGCACGTTCAGTATCCTACCCCGAGCCGGCGCACCGCTTATACTGGCGACAGCGTCTTCGCAATCCCTTAGTCTACTCCTTTCCAGTGCGATAACCTCACCACTTCCCTGAACTCACCAGACCTTTCACAGAAACAGTTCCTCGCTATGCGGTTGCCCACAATACTCGGAGCTGCTGTTTTGGCATCCTTTACCTCATCTGTTGCTGCCACGGCCCTTACATACAAGCTCGCCCCTAACGAGAGACAATGCTTCTACTCAACCGCTGACAAGAAAGGGTCTAAGGTGGCCTTTTACTTTGCTGTAAGATTTTTCTCCCGCGGCGCTCAGGTCTTTTTCCCCCAGTCCTAACCGTTTAGAACAGGTTCAATCGGGTGGTTCTTTTGATGTCGATTACAAAGTGACGGGTCCGAACGAAAAAATTATTCTTGATGGGTCCAAGGAGAGGCAGGGTGATTTTGTCTTTACCGCGAACGAGCCCGGAGAATATAGCTTCTGCTTCTCCAATGATATGTCTACATTTGCCGAGAAGATGGTGGACTTCGAGATTGCTGTACGAGCACTGTTTTCCTGTTTGTCCTAGCTCTACTTACAGGTACCCAGGTCGAGAACGAAGCTCGAGCTGAGCTCCCGTCAAAGCAAGGTACCTCCCCCGAGCATCTTTCATCCCTCGAGGAGTCACTTTTCAAGCTCTCTGGTCAACTCTCCACCATCTCCCGTAACCAAAAGTACTTCCGCACCCGTGAGAACCGCAACTTCAGCACCGTCCGCTCAACCGAATCCCGAATCTTCAACTTCTCGGTTATTGAGTCCCTTATGATGGTTACGATGTCGTGTCTCCAAGTCTTCATTGTTAGGTTCTTTTTCCAAGGTGCACGCAAAGGTGAGATAACCCCCTTACTTCTCCCCGTACAAGCCCCTTAATCAACTCACGAATCTTCGTGTTCGGTTTTGCTTGCCCCTTTCGCCACTCTCATTCCGCTAAAGCATATAGCAGGTTATGTGTAAATGGGACGTGCATATTTTTCTTTTTTCTATGGATGATTTTATTTGTATTACAACAGATATTTTTTCAGTCAATGGAGTTGTGATATCAAAAGTCCGTACGAGCCATTCCGTTATGACATGTTTTGCTGGGTTAGGAAATACTCGTATATTCTGGTGGGTTGTGAAGTGTGCAAACGACCGGGTATGATAGCATGCTTTTTTGGTTTTTTTTTCTTCCAATACGGTCACAGCGCTAGGCAGTGTTCGTTTTAACGGGGAGTTCAAAAGTAATTGACATTCAAGGGAACACATCGGGCATCTGCTATCCAACAAGAAGAATAAAACGCTAGTCACGACGGGGGGAGGGGTGGTGGGTATCATTAGTGAATATCTTTACAGAAGACCATCTATGCATGCAGAAAGAAATCCTTTCTATGATATAATGGAAAACAGGGACCACCGCAATGATGCCGCACAACAAAGAATAGTGAGGTAAATGAGATACCTGCCCCTCATAGCATAACGACGGAACTCAATCGACCCAACACCCCTTCCCATCCCCTCCCCCCCAACTCCAGAAATGTTGCAATGTCCGAGATAGGTGGCAACTCGAGACCGCCGAACGAAGAAAGGAGCGAACGAACGATGAAAAGGCGCAACAAACCTATACAGCACGTTAAAAAACAAGGATCAAACACAGACGACACACGAACCAAAAGAAATAAATAATAATAATAAAAAATACAAGAAATTATGGAAAAACAAATGAAGAATATGAAAAGAATTTACATCCAATCAACTTCCTCCCCTTCTGGTAAATACGGTATCTCAATCAACCCGGAACTCTATCTCTGAATAATACGCCTGCGAGAAATAAATGGTTAACCAAACGAAGCAGTATAATACATGACTCCACCGATCTTTTTTTTCTTCTTTCTTTCTTTTTTTTTTAGTTTTTTCCCTCTATTAATTGTAGTTTGTAGTAAGTAGGCGGGCATACACTTGTCCTCCTTGCAAGGGAGTATATATAAATATATATGTATGTGCGCCCACCTACCTACCAAGATAATACTACACCCCATCTAAGTTCAATTGCTCACATTTATTCCCTAACTTGGACACCTGCAAGAACACGTCTGTGCCGTAGCCGTCGAGACTGTGCAATTCCAGACTACCGGCCCAGTACTCGGCGTACACCCTGCTCATGGGCAGGCCCATTCCCAGTCTAAGGTTCGGTGGCCGAGAGGTCAGTCTAGAGAGGGAAGTGTCCATGCTCTCCCTGCGGGAGTGCGTGTGCGCCGTTTTCTGCAGCTCCTGCAGCGTGGCGGCCATCTTCGGTACCTGGGAGAAGTTCTGGAGGTAATTGATTGCGCGGGGCCCCTTGGCGAAGGACCATAGGTGAGCGAGTTCAGCTATGGGTATTCCACCACCTTGGTCGGAGACGCGAAAGATTATGTGTTGTTTCGTATGGCAGATTAGGATTTTGATGGGTGGGAGGGAAGTGGAAGACTGGCTGTGGTGGTCGATGGTGGCTTGGATGGAGTTGCGCAGGAGCTCGCCGATTATGTATTCCAGGTGGGAGGGAATGTATGGAAATGTCGTGTCCAGGCGGCCCTCGATTTGGATCTCGGGAATGGGCGAGGTGGAGCCGTTGGCCTCCCGAGCGAGTTCTAATGTGTGCTTGCCGACTTGCTCGACGACTTCTCGCGCGTTGCAGCGGAGGAAGACCTCGCCGACGAAGTCGTGGGGCTGGTTGCTCACGGAGTCGGGGAAGTGGAAGGGGGAGTTGAAGGTGTCTGTTAACGCTAGGTGTTGTTCGGCTATGACTCTTCTAGAAATTCTCTAATGCGGGGGTTCAGCCGCCGAGTGATCCAAGATATATAGAAGGAGGGGAACGACAGGGTTTCCACATACACTCCGAAGAATAACATTCATAAACCTGTCCAATTCATGCGACGGTACCAAATCATTACACTCCAGCACGCCCATAGCGAGACTCGGTATGACGGTAAGATGCTCTTGCAACGCCGTCTTGACAATTTCGCAGAACTTCTCGTTATCCTCGAGACTCTTAATCTCGGGGATCCTACGGAAGGACTCGAAGGCTTTATAGTACAGCTCGTACACCTCCGATAAATGCCTATTCGTGACGACCACGTACGGCAGCTTCTGCATATCGCGGATGCGATGGGCTATGCGCAGGGGGAGCTCGGTGCGCACATAGTTTGCCGAGTCTATGATCTTCTTCTCGTCCAAGTTGCGCCCGCCAAAGAAGACTAGTTGGCGGAGGGATATGGGGCGGGCTGGCTGAGCTACGTAGGAGTCCAGGACTCCTGAGGCACGCCAGCGGGGATTGTGTTGAATTGAGGAGAGGTGTCGAGCATTGATCTTGGTCGTTATGGCGGCAGTGATTGGGATGACTTGGGAACGGAGTATTTTTGCATGTGAGCCGACAACAGCTTGGGTCAAGGACGATTCTAGCGAGCTGGCGCACTGTCGCATTCGCGACGAGACCTGAAGGATTGTAGACATCCCCGCGTAAATGCCATTGATCAATGGACAGGTTAGGGAAGGGGGGGGAAGAGTGGAGTGGGTGAGGAGGTGGTAGGTATGATAGGAAGGACGAGGAAGGTCGAGTCCGTGAAGGGTGTGTACGAGTAGTCCTCTGTGCTCTGCCGAGTCACGGGAGTTGGGTAACGTTCATGACAAGTATCATACCACCATCGATGGCACCGTTAACTTAAGTGCGGGTTTGGGTTTCGAAACTCTTGAGGGTACCGTGCCACACACTTACCCTAGGGTTAAGTTATGTACCGCTGGGCACGACGTGGGGCATCCTTGGTGCAGAATGCCGAGTTTGTTCGACATAGTACGATAGTTCCCCGCACAAACTTTTTTTACTCAATGCCCGCGAATTCGATAGAATGGGTAAAGTATCGTACAGTACAGTACTATACCGATATGATGCTCGAGCACAGTTCCGGCACTATACTATGATACCAGTCTACTCGTACGATACCCACTGCCCGCCATAAAACAATTCCTGTCAGTCAAACCAGATGGAGTACTCGGGTATGGACGTTAGTGATGAGACGGACAGGGGTTTTTGTGTCTGGGCGCTCATACTGTCAGAGGGAAAAAATTATTTTAATTTGGTAGGTGTCATCACTCACGTCCATACCCGAGTACTATGAAAGAATGGAATATATATCCAATACCTACCACCAGTAATAGAATAGATACGTATCCTGACCCAGTCCATACCGTATACCAAAATAGGGGGGAATAAAAGATTTATCCATTCTTTAAGGATTGTCTCAGAGCAATTGACGGATCCCTGATGCCTGTGGACTAACAGATTTACCAAGTCAAGCTGCCATAAAATAGTTCGGATAGGTCCTCATGCCAAGAAAATCGAGAGGGAGAAAACACCTCCATAATTCAAAGTTTGACCCAAAAAAGTTGAAGTGAAGATTTAGAAAATTTTCTGCAGGGTTCGAGTAATTCCCAAATCTTTCTGTGACCTTCTCCAATCTCTTTTAGTCTATGCTTGAAGGATTTTTAAAGAGACAAGCAAGAGCACGTAAAAAAAAAAATTGAAAAAAAATTTGTTGTTCACCGAGATGTGAAATCCTATGGATTGTACGGTACCGGTATACCGGTATATATATCTTTTTGCCAAGAATGGTATTGTAAAGGCATCTTCCTATTTTTCATGGTGTTTGAAGGTTTTTCCATTAAATTTTACAATAGTTGCACTCCATAAAATTTACTCTTGTGGCCGAGTTGAAGATGGACACCAATAGTGGCATTCCCATTGAGAATGTCCAACTCCAGCTCGGCCACGGGAGTACGAGTAGTTATTGGGTAGCGTATTCTGTTATGGCGGGCAGTGAGTACCCATGCTATCGTGTTCGCGGGCATTGTCTTAGTTTTTCCTTTTTTAATTTTACACGGGTGAGGGGTAAAAGTGCAAAAAGGATACCAGTTATCATATGATACCCCGCGCTGATTTATTTCGAATCCAGCTTACCGGTTTCGACATGACCGAGCTCTTCTCGTACAAGTACGAGTAGGAGCACCGCAGATCTCTGTCGCTGCTAGATCTATTTAATTAAGTTGGAGGCTGGGGGGCGTGACGCTCTACCGGTATCACGGTTGTGAACCCGAGGCGTGGGTTTCGGGGCGAATAAGCTCACTTGTAATAGTGGTGTTTCGGACTTGGCAGCCCTGGTATGGATCTAGGATGCATCAGTGCAATGAGTTCTTGGAGAGCTGTGAGCGAATCCCCAGGAAGATGGGGAATCCGAAAGACCCATGGCTTAACCAAATTTTGCACCATGGCGGGCTAAACTAGTTTACTTGGGCTTCGAAACGTCAAATGCCTGGCAAGGAAATGGATGGCGGTTCGAGTGAGCTCCTATGACGGATGCCCGAATCGAAATACCTTTCGGGGTGGGTTCGGGGAGCAGGGAGGGGGCGAAGGAAACTCCGCATGAAGTGTTTTTTTGGAGGGGGGGGCTAATTCCAGTGGCTACTGTACCGTAAAATATTATAGTTATTAAGGCTACTCGTGAAAAAGAACATGCTGGGGACTAAGCTATTCAGGGGCATAATGGGACAAAGCGATTTTCGACTTTCCTTTAGAAGGACCCGCCGTGCCAGCACCGGTATCGGTACTAGAATAGGAGACGGCCAGAGAGGGGTAAATTACCAGTATATCTACCACCAAGGTCACAAGGGCTACATCCCGTGGGGAAATCTTGCTGATAAAGCACTTGGGAGTCTTGATGCGACACCTGAACAATGCTATAAATTAAAGAATAGTCAGCACGGCCTAAAGAAATGGTACTATATCTTAGATCGGTGTGAGCGATTTTACGCCTGGGGCTCCAACAATGAAACACCTGAATATTATTGATTACGTAAATATCATTGAAGGAGAGAGCAAATTGTGGTCAACGTATCACACTGTGGTGCAGTGTTGAAAACAAACGGGGTGCGCTTTTAGTGCACGCGAGCAAACGAGGGGCTAGTTCAAGCGGTGGTGGTGAGGCAATTTGGGATTCCTCCTCCAGGCTTCAGCTCCCTGAGCCGCAATATCAGACAAGGGCAACAGGGAACCCTTACCTGCGGAACCCTCGCATAATGTCGGCGGTGAACTCCCTTCATGTGAGAACAATAATATTATAATACGGTCTCTAGGGGAGCACCAGTGTGTTACTAGGGCCATGTCGCCACATGAAGACACCGATAGGGTAGTTGGTGTTCGGGTTGGATTCTCCATCTTTACATCGTATCCTCGCAGTGGGATGGCGATACGGTAAGGATGGCCCTGAGGACAGAGTAGGGTCGGGGCGCTGTGTATCGTACTCGAGTACACACAGCTCGTGATCCTATGTGCATTGGGAGTTTATGGTTGAATTTTAAACCTTTGGTGGGCGTGTGATGGCTCTCTCCTGCTCACCCCGAAGGCATTGTCGTTCAACTCCCCAGCAGGGCAAACATGGCGGGCCAATAGCGGTATGGGTGCATTTCGAACCTAGAGATTTGGGATGGAGGGATACAGGTTCTGTGGGAAGGGCTGTTTCGATATATAACACTGCTGTATGGTGCTCGAGCACGGATGCTTGCATGATAGAACAATGCCCATGCTAAGCTATCATCATATTGGGGGATCACTGGTAGCAATTCCAGCCACACATGTCACCGGTGTGGTACGGTAGAAAAGCCCCACTGGGAGCCCCGCAATAAGCCACACTTACGCATACGCATACCTCGGTGACCACCTCCTTTCGAGCTTCCGTCGCGGTTTCCCTAAACCCTCTCTTCAGAATCCGACCTGGTATCGAAAGAGACCCCCCAGTCTTGCACCTAGCTTTTCAAGAGCAGCATTGTGAACTTCCTTCAATCGCCACCCTACTGTTCGCCCCTTTCTCCCATCATCTCCTCCCACCTCCTATCATCTCCCTCTCTCATCAAGCACCGTCATCTCACATCAGGTATGTTCCTCCCATCACTGACAATCGTGTTAAGATCGATAAGAATCATTGCTTGTGCTGCTCACAATTTCTATTGTCATGCCAAACACCGAGCCCCAGCATAAGCACTCTCCACCCATCCCCCCCCCGTTATCCTCCTATTCAGCTCCCTCTCGTGCACCGCTCCTCCTCCACCACCACTTGGGACCTATCCCTAATCTAGCGAGCCCCCTTATTTAGTCTCGGTCCCGATTTTGCGTCAAGATAGCTTTCACTCCCTACCCGTCCCTCCACATTCGCCCCACTTGTTCTAACGGGTGGGCATTATAAAACAAAAAATTCTCCGTTAATTTCGCTCTCCTCTGTCGGTATAATGGACATAGTAAGTGCACGGGCTTTACTAATTCACCGCGTAACATGATACACCCTACCTGAGATTATGCGCCGCTGACAAAGGGGTATTATTGATGAACAGTCCGACGATCAGGCTATGGTCATAGACGGGTTGGACCAAGACAACGGAAAAACTCAAGATGTCACCATAATAAGTCCACAGCAGTCGATAGATTCCGGTTCTGCTGATGACAAGGACTCTATAGTGTTGGCCGATGACTGTAATAATTCCCCACTGGTATTGTTGAAATTTTAACTGAATTGTTGTAAAGATGAAGCTATGAAGAAAACCCTTCTTCCAGATCTCCCCGATATCGAGACAGAAGATGAGACTACCTATACATGGAAGATTGAAAATTGGAGAAAAATGGAGCGGAGGTCCCATGGTCCAGCATTTCATTGCGGCGGCTCTCCATGGTACGGAACTGAGTGGCATTGCCGATAATTACCTACGAATGTCTACTAACAGATCCTTAGGCGTGTTCTCTTTTTTCCGCAAGGAAACAATTGCGACTTCACATCTTTCTACCTTGAGCAAGGCTTTGACGAAAAACCTCCGGAGAGTTGGTATAAATGTGTTCAATTCGGACTTGTGCTCTGGAATCCGAATGACCCATCGGTACACGTGACACACCGTGAGCCTTCCTAGTCTGTTGGATATGATAGTTGTGCGTTTTCTGACAAGGTCTCCGGCTTTAGAGGCCCATCATCGTTTCACGGCCGATGAAGGTGATTGGGGGTTTACGAGGTTTACTGAGCTAAGGTCGTTGATGTCCACAACAAAGGAAAGGGCACGGCCACTCGTTGAGGACGAATCCGCGAACCTCACAGCATACGTTCGTGTCGTAAAGGATCCAACGGGTGTCTTATGGCATAACTTTCTGAAGTATGCTCCTTGAACAATCTAGTGATCTTTGGTGCTAAATGTCAACTTAGCTACGATTCAAAGAAAGAAACCGGTTATGTTGGACTCAAAAACCAAGGTGCTACATGCTACCTGAATTCTCTATTGCAATCGTTATACTTCACCAATAGCTTTCGGAAGGTATATATATATATCTATATATCCGACTTTGAGGTATATGGGAACATGTTTTAATGAAAATTCATAGGCTGTCTACCAGATCCCTACCGAGAACGAACCGCTCTCAAATAGCGCACTCACTCTGCAGCGCTTATTTTATCTCCTCCAGACGTCCAATGAAGCAGTTGGGACCTACGAGCTCACACGATCCTTTGGATGGGAGACACAGGATATATTCGCCCAACAAGATGTCCAGGAACTCAATCGCATTTTAATGGAGAGCTTGGAACAGAAGATGAAAGGAACCGAGGCAGAAAATTCTCTGACAAAATTGTTTGTAGGGAAGACGAAAACCTATATCAAGTGCATCAATGTGGACTACACGTCCGAGAGGATTGAGGACTTTTGGGATATCCAACTCAACGTACGAGGCTTCAAAAACTTGGATGAGTCTTTCAAGGATTATATTGCGGTTGAGACGATGGATGGGGAGAATAAATACTTTGCTGAAGGCCATGGACTCCAAGACGCAAAGAAAGGAGTGATATTCGAATCTTTCCCAGAAGTTCTACATCTCCATCTAAAACGTTTCGAATACGATTTGAACACGTATGCGATGCAGAAGGTATTTCGCTTAACCCGTCTTTTTGAGCATCCTTGACTTAATTATTCCTGCATGGTAGGTGAACGACCATTACGAGTTTCCCCAGGAGTTTGATGCGGCTCCGTATCTCTCCGAAGATGCCGATAAGTCGGAGCCTTATTCTTATGCCCTACATGGGTTCGTTATCCCAGTCTGATAATTATTAACAATTCTAACCCAACCTAGTGTTTTGGTACATAGCGGTGATCTCAATGCGGGCCATTATTACGCTTTTCTGAAACCTGAGAAGGATGGCAAGTTCTTGAAATTTGATGATGATCGTGTGACGAAGGCAACCCTGAGGGAGACAATGGATGAGAACTTTGGAGGTGACTATGGGCCAGCTACTAATGGGCTTCCGAGAAACCCACAAGCCCGGGCCATTTCTATAAAAAGGTCCATGAATGCCTATATGTTGGTTTATCTCCGAAAAAATAAGATCGACGAGATCTTACCCACAGTGAGCGAAGAGGACACGCCTGCGCATCTACGTAAGTTTTGCACTTTTTTTTCTTTTATCCCCTAGAAGGGCTCCCTACGGGTTGAGGCGAGGCTAATTGGCAAAACAGAGAAGAAACTGGATGAGGAAAGAGCAACTCGTGAATTACGCAAGAGAGAAAGGGATGAGCAACACTTATACCTCAACGTGAAGGTTATTACAGAGAGTCAGTTCAAAGCCCACCAAGGTTTCGACCTTACCTCCTGGGATGACAAAGATCAACCTGAGGAGGCGCAGCCAAGGCACTACCGGGTCCTCAAAGCTTCTCTGGTTAAAGACCTTGTTGAAAAGGTAGCCGCAGATATTCGTGTTGATCCCGGTAATGTGAGATTATGGATAATGGTCAATCGCCAAAATAAGACTGTTCGTCCGGACCAGCCCATCACTATGCCAGAAATGAGTATGGCCCTCGATTCTTTATTCAAGAAGATCCAATCTTCTAATGCTAGGGCATTAGGTATTGAGGACGCCTCAAATAAGCATAACAACAAGTCGAGCGACTTTAGACTATGGGCGGAGGTTGCAACTGAGACTAAACCAGGCAAAAACCTTGAGCCCTGGGCTCAGGCTCGAGACTCAAACAGTGCTTGGATAGTTGTATTTCTCAAACGCTATGACCCCGAGTCACAGACACTGCGCGGGGTTGGCCATTTATACATGCGGAAAAACGACAAAGTTGCAGAGTTAATACCGGCGATTCTGACCGAAATGAACTGGCCGCAAAACACACTCCTAAGGCTTTACGAGGTCCCTCCTCCGCTATCACTTGTGGCAAATTATGATGCTAACGGATTCCTAGGAAATAAAACCACAAATGATTGAGCCCATGAAGCCGAAGCAAACTTTCAACCAGGCTGAGATTCAGGATGGCGATATCATATGTTTTCAGAGAGCCTACACCGAAAAAGAGTAGGAAAGCTCCTCACCCGAGCCGAGGAGAAGATGCTTACATTAATATAGGGCACTAGCACTTTTTCAGAAGAATCTGATCCCTGATGCCAAAGACTTTTACGATCTTTTGGTCAACAGGATTGTCATCAAGTTTCACCCAAAGAGTCCTCATGTCGCAGAGGGGAAAGTGTTCGATCTGACACTTAACAAGAAAATGACATATGACCAAGCACGTATAAGCCTTCGGCTGCATCGAGAAATTTGCTAATATTTTTGGATAACAGCTCGCAGAAAAAGTTGGTGAATATCTTGATGCGCCACCTACGCATCTAAGATTTACCACCATCAATGCTGCTACTGGAGGCCCTCGGTCGATAATCAAGCGAAGCCCCAATACAACACTCCATCAGATGCTTACAACTACCTATTACAGCAATACGACCATCTCACCAAATAGTCTATGCTATGAAGTTTTGGAGCTATCACTCACCGAGCTCGAGACGATGAAAACTCTCAAGCTATACTGGCTACCTGAGGGTATTGTGAAGGAGGAGCAGGTCGAGATCTTGGTCCCCAAGAATGGCCAAGTTCAAGACATCGCTGCGATACTTCAAAAGAAGCTCGAACTGGATGATGAAACTGGGTCAAAATTAAGATTCTACGAATCTCACCTTGGCAAGTTCTACAAAGAATTGGAGCCTACCTTCGGTGTGGCCGGGATACAAGACTACATGAGTTTGCTAGTTGAGCGTAAACCAAATGAGGAGCTAGAAATGGAGGAAGGCGATCGATTTATCTATGCTTTCCACTTCCACAAAGAGCCAAGTAAGGCTCACGCTTTTGGGATACCTTTCAAATTTGTTGTCAAGCAGGTGCATACAATCATTCCTTAGCTCTTGGGTGTTTTAAATGTGGGGCTAACGGATTGGCTCCTTTTTTATTCTCATTCTTACAGGGCGAGATCTTTGAGAAAACCAAAGAGCGGTTGCAACTCCGAACAGGCATCAAAGGCAAACCATTCGAGAAGATTAAGTTTGCTGTCGTCAGAAAATCAAACGTTCCGAAACCCGTATATCTCTCGGACGGTGGGCGGCCCCTTGTGCCTTTGCTTTGGTTATGGTACTTTTGCTAACATTTTCGATATAGAGGACATACTTGCGGACGTAGCCTCGGAACCCGACGATGTGCTTGGGCTAGACCACGTTGATAAGAACAGCCGCGCCTGGGGCAGAACCGGGGGGCCAGAGATACGGATTAAATAGATGTGGCACGACCGGTTTCTCGCTTTCATTCCTTTAATCCTTTCAATTTTTTTTCCCCCCTCTTCCATCTGGAGCATAAACTCGTGATTCAGTTGAAGCCATTAAATACTTGCTTTGGTGTGGCAGAACTTTCCCCTTTTTCATTTTCGATAATCTCCCTCTTTCATTCTGGTGATCTATGATTGTGTGCAGGTTTATACGTTATAAGCTATGGTCGTTTGTTTTCTTCCTTCTGGCTTGGTTTCCCTTCTTTTCATTTCTTTTCAGGGCGGTGCTGTAGTAGGGATACCAAGGTTCTCTCTTTTTCCATTCACTAAGTTATGTCCTGGTGAGAGCATGGGTTAGCTGGTAGGTAATTGATAAAGAAAAAAAAGACGAGAAAGGGAGACGATAAGCCGATAAATGTAAACCAACATTCGCGTTCAGAATTTCGCAATAATGGAGCTAAAGCGTACTGTAGAGTGCTTTCTGGGGAGGGCTTTTTTTTTTCTTCTTCCACCGTTCCTTTTTCTTGCTACAAATTTTTATTTTTCTATAACTCGGTAGACTATTCGACCATATCTACGCTAAGTTGGGCTCATTTATTTGATATGTCCGTCCAATCAGGCAATCTAGGATGCACGGAAGCAACCTCTCCAGAGAGTAAGGTAATTTAAAAAAGCCAGGAAAAAAAAGAAAGAAGAAAAAGCAATCACCCCAGTATATCACAAAGCCTATCAAGATAGGCATCGGGCACGACGGTGGCCCCCTCCTCGAGGATCTCCTCCTCAGTAGAAACGCCCGTCAAAACGGCCAAGGTCCCGCCCAAGCCGCCCTCGATGCCGAAGCGAATATCTGTATCCAGGCGATCCCCGACCATGCAAGCCCTCTTCCTATCAAACTCGAGCACCCCTTCGATCGCGTCCATCATGGCCTGCGATGGCTTCCCCAGCGACACGGGCGTGCGTCCAGTCATGTAGGTCAAAGGCGCAGACATAGCACCAGCGCCGGGGAACAATTTCCCATGCGTTGGAAACGTTGAATCTATATTGGTGGCCAGAAAGACAGTCCCGGGATTACGGAGGTACTGGTATGCCCGCGCCAACTTCCTATACGAAATAGCGTGATCAAGGCCGCACAGGACGACACCGACGTCCTCATCGGGACCGAACGAGTCGTAGTCCTCGGGCGTGATATCGCCGCCATCGTCACTGATGTAGGCGACCCCCTCCGTGGCCAACTCCTCCTTGATGCCGGATTCGCCGATCACGTAGACCCTCTTGTCCCGCTGCAGCCGCAGCACGCGGGATATGTAGATGGCCGAGGAGTAAGCGCTGCAGAATATCTCGTTGATGCCGCAGGGGATGCCGAGACCTTGGAGCTTGGCCTGGTAAGTTGTGCGAGACTTTGTGGAGTTGTTGGTCACGAAGAGGAGTTGCTTGCCCAGGCTGCGGAGGTGAGCGATGGTTTCGGCCGTGCGGGGGAGGAGGCTTGCGCCTTGCCAGAGGACGCCTGAGAATAGGTTGTTAGAGTAAGTGTGATATGGGAGCAGGTGGGGAGGAATTTACCGTCGCAGTCGAAGAGGAAGATCTGGAAAAGAGCCAGTTAGTTAGTTATAGCCCAAACTGAATCCCCGCCCCCCCCAAAAAAAAAACCTGAATAATTGGACGGTGTGCCATACGGCCGTTGGGCTTTCCGCTTCTCGGCAAGGTTGGGGGGGGGGTCTGTGTGTCCTACCTCCCCCACCTTCTTCCAGAGAAGGGAATTTTGGACTACCAGTAAGCTACATGACACACCATCCGTCCGTTCCAATTATTCAAGTTTTTTTTTTACGGGCACTGGTGTGGATTGGAGAAGGGGAAAACAAGGGGGGGGGGTTTCAAACATCAAACTTATCGATAAACGCTGCCAATTCTTCTGGCTTTCCGCTGAGTTTTTGTGGTGGCATTGTTTTTGTTTCTTTTTTTTCAATCGTGGTGTGTTTATCGTGGAGTTGATATTATGGTACTGTCCAGTAACGGGGAGCTGAAAACGTGGGTTTGGAGGGAAGGGGAAGAAGGGAAGAAGGAAAAATGGCAACGGGTAGGCCACGGTGGGTATGATAGCACAGGGTGCATTAATCTCCCCGATAGATCGGGTTTGGAGCGAGCCGTGGCGGCTGCGATAGTTTAGCAATACTATAGAACCTAATATTGAGGCTTAAGTTATTAATTTTTATAATAATAATATTATGATAACAATCTGTTGCGAGTGAGGAGTTGTGATTGCAGGGTCCAGTCCCCCACAGCAGCTTATCACTGGTTAGAGCCTGGAGGGGTGTAATACTGTATGATAATACAATACCTTATATAATTGACTCGAGGGGAAACAGAAACAGCATGAAGCGCAGTATCATACATATCATACATATTATACATACAAATCACTCAATCACACAAATCACAGTACCGTATCCTACTCACTCGCAAACATAATTTTATAACCTTCTCCCCACCCAAACCTAGAGTACCCGTACTCGTACTTCACAAAAACCTTACCAGTCCAACAAACCCCAATTACTGTGAACTTCGCCGGAGGGTCCAGGACGCGGGACGACTCACAGTCAAACCGCCGGCCGACCGACCAACGCCCTCCTTAGTCTCGCGGAGGAGGAGGAGGGGAGGGGGGGACTCCCCAACAGCGCTGGAAACTGACCACCTATAAATCCAAAACTACTGTAATCGCGGTCACGGTTTGCTGTGTGGAAAGAAACTTGGTGGAGGCGGAATTGCCTGGGTGTTGACTGGCAGGTAGGTTATGAATATATCATAATTCGACCTGGCTACATGGGCCCGGATACAGTAAGGTACGAGTACAGTAACCGCGCCGGGTATGCTACGGGACTTGAAAAATGACTACGGGGCGCTCGGGTTTGGCGATGTCTCTCGCTCTTGTCAGATTTTATACGAAGGGAGATGTGGGAGTTGTGTCTATGATGGTGGGTTTTGATGTTGTATGGTGGGTTCATGGAGGGACGGTAAGTTTGCCTAGCTAGTCGATGGATTTTGGCTTGTTTCGTGTTCTAGAGTTTAGACTACAAGCTTTGCCAGAGACTAGCTCAGAGGACGGGTCCGGGCACGGTGAAGCTGGGAATCCACAATTAACCTTGCACAGCTTCATAATGCCAATATACCAGCTAGAAGAAACTTGAAGAGTAACAAAAATTAAAAAAAGGCTCAATTCAGTTGTGGCTAATATACAATAGGGAGCAAATGCAAGTCAGGGAGAGTTTTTTTTTTTTTTGGTGCTATCCCATCTAATGTAGAAGGTTACCGGTATTCGATTGTCAAAGAACAAATCGCAAACCGGAGAATATTGATGTCAAACGGATAAAATATTAAAACTTGTGAAGGAAACAAAACAAACTAAAAACTAGACCCTGCCTTTGTAACTCCGATCCCTAGTTTCCTGCTCCCACGAGCAGTGAATGAGAATTTTTATTTTTTTTATTTTTTTTATTTGGTGGTTGGGGAAAGGACGAAGGCTTCATGACAACTATCATACCCACACCCACATCCATCCAATCAAGGTATCACTACCACATCCACCATAGCCGGGAATTTAGAGCAACTCATCACAAGTCCAATCCTCATAACTGCACCACCAGTCAGCACCAACCAATACCACCCGAGTCTCTCTAAAGAAGGGCGAAAAAAAGGGGGAAAGAAAAAAAAACTTACTATCCATCCGGCAAGTATCTCCTAACAACCAGTGGAATCTTCTTCTCCTGTAGCTCCTTGAGAGCGATCAGCAGCGGGTCCGTCTCACCACCGGTATCCACAAGTACCGGCGCATTCATACTGATCTGCAGCGCCCGGGTCCCAAGCACCCTAGCGCGTTCATACTTGGTCAGGTATGGAGTGGTGGTACGCTTGTCGTCGGGAATACGCTTTGGATCTTTTCCACCGCGCGCCGCGCTAGAAGCTGCTGCCGCCGCCGCGGCCGGGTCACCGGAGGCTACGTAGTCGTGATTCCCGTTGGTCACACCGTTCTCATCGCCGTTGTCCGAGATGATGTCCTGTGGGTCGGCATCAAAGTCATTCTCTTCGTAGTCATTTTCGTAGGCGTCTTGAGCGAAGCTGTTGTTTTTGTTGTGTTTGGAGTTAGCCTTTGTGTTGAGGGGAAGGGGACCAAGCGCAATGGGTAGAATGTATCGGAAATCTTGAGGGGTGGTTACTCGTTCTCTCCATCGTCGCCCCCTCCGTAGTCAGACATTATGATGAAAGAGTGGGTGCTGAAAACTTGTTTGCTGAGTGGCTTTTTTGTGAGAGAACGAGTGTTGAAGGGGTGTTGGCGGTTAGGGGGTGATTGGTTGCAGTGAGAGCGGTGAGATGAGCAAATAGGCGGAGGGAAAATTGGGGGATGAATTTGACAGAAACTTTACTGCAGGGCTTCTTTGACTAAGCCTAATCTGGTAATAACGACAGCCACTGTCCAAGACTTTTTGCTTCACGAGGCTCAAGGGCTTTGTTCTCCCCGACTTCCCCATGATACCGGAGTCTGCTCGAGTAACATCCAAGTTAGGGCACAAGTCATTATGTATACTGGAACATCCTAGCTCAAAAATTCGATCTTATTGTCTATGGATCTAATCACCTCCATGGATCTAATCTGATCCTACTTTCTGCATAATATATCATTATTCTACAGTTGTATTAGGTTAACTTCACCTATAATAATTTCCTAATATGTACTGAGCAGTCTAATCAGATGTGCGCAATCAGCTCCATCTCGTCAGACGATCTGATGATCTGATATCCCGTGATGACATGTACCCCTGCAGTATTTGCCATCACAACAGGATTTTGCTTGTGCGACTATCCATATCTCCTCCCTCAGACTTTCAACATTCACAACCCGCTCGAGCATGGATCGAGGGGATGCTAGTTAGTTGTATTGAAGAGTTTCTATTATAGTTATTAGTAGTAAATATGCTATCTACAGACACAAGCTAACTATTTACATTTTACAAATCCCCTACTACAAACATAATGAAATCTACAACAAAAAGTAGTTATATGAGAATAAATACTTTATATATTAGGTCTATTGATATCATAAGCTAATAAATCTTACATTCAACTAACAATTTCAACTTCTCTAAACTATAGCTATGGTAAAAATATTAAAGAAAAATATGATTCCTCTATTGTTCAAAATAATTTGCAAGAAATCAAGAAACAACTTCAATTAATGTACTTTAATTCTAGTAGAATTAAAATACACTTAGTATTTTATAATTATGAAAATATTTACCATCTCCTCTCATATTATTGATATATCATATCAAACCCGTTGAATTTCCTTGTTTAAGTTTAATCGAAGCTAAAAGAAATTTACTATATTGTACAGTGGGGGAATTCCCCTAATAAACTCCCAATCCGAAACCGACAGGACACCCACAAACTACGGTATCTATCGTTTATGTATAAATAACCCCAGACGCATAGCAGGTCACCCTACTCATCATCATCATCATCCTCTTCCTCTTCTGAGGATTCCTCCTCTGCTTCGGCAAGCCATTTGACGAACGCCTTAGTAGCTTGTCTAACCTTACTCATTCCGCCTGCGTCGGTGGAGCTCCTCTCGTCCTCCCACCAGGTATTGATAGCTTCCTCTTCTACTATATCCAGCTCAAAGGCCCTTTGTGCAACATTCAGGAGAAGGCTACCCCCATTCTTCCTCTCAATGCAGTCCTTTTGCACTAGTAATAGGAAATCCGATTGATCTTCCTGGTCAAAGATCATACGCTTTACGAGGAGCTCCCAGCGGGTAAAGACCTCATTGGTAACCTCCGACAGGCTCTTCGACCGGGTGGCGACGACCTCTTCTATACGGGTATGTAGAGCAGAGACTGCGGCTCTGCGGACCTGGTGCCAAGATGCGTTCGATGTCATCCTGAGACCATTGAGTTCCAACGAAGCCACTTCAACAGGGTGGTCTCCTTGCATGGCTGTGAGCAGAGATACAGCTGCTTCCTTATGCCATGCATCCGCCTCAGCGTTATCCTCCGATGTTGCTGTTGTTACTGAATCTGAGCGCTTCCTAAGCTTCTTGTCTCCAGGGGTAAGCTCACCATCGGAATCCTCATCGTCGTCAGAAATGGTGGATATCGAGGATTCTGAGCCATCGACAAGATCTTCATCCTGGAAGCCTGCGATCTGCGGTCAGCACAAAAACTCACCGAAAATATTGACAGGGGCGTAGCTTACCCAAGCTATCCATCCCAGATATTATAACCTCCTCCTCCTCCTCAGACTCCTCCTCCTCATATTCGTGCCCGCCTAACAAATCGTCCCCTTCATCACCAGAATCAGAATCTATATCAGATTTTCTCTTGTAGGTACTGATCCTGCTTCCGGCTTTAACGGTAGTGCCATCCGGGATATGTACGTTATAGGAGATTAAAGCCCCTCTCTCAACAATGCAGTCTTTTCCCAGCTTCACTCCATTAGCGATGATTGAGCTATATATCCTACATCCGTCCCCGATGGCCACACCATCCCAGACGTAAGACCCATCAACAACCACGCCTGACCCAATTTCACAATTTCTGCCAATGGTGCTGGTTCCCACAACGCTTCCTTCACCAACACTGGTATTTGTCCCAATAATAGTCAATGGCCTGATAGTAACCGATTGCTCCAGGAATGCGCCCTCATCTATATAGCGACCTCCCATCGCCGAGTCATAGCCTTGGTCGTCGAGGAAATTGGTGTCCGGGACCACCGGGTATGCCAATTGCTCCATCAGATCCCCACTAACCTCGTCATATGCCCTAAGGCTCCTCACACGAGCTAAGTAATAGCCCTTCATGATGTGGGTATGGATGGTCTTGCCATAGAGATCGTAGTCAGTTAGAATGCCGTGGAGGAAATGCAGACGGATGTGTTGATAATCGAAGTTCTCGGTGAATAGAGCAGGCACGTCGGGGGAGCAGATATCCAGATAGCAATCAACCAGGTCGTTCCTTATCTGAAGTTCGGAATGGTCTTTGAATAATTCACGGGGTACAAGCGCGCCACCTCTTCCGTGCGGGGCAATCTCGTCATAGTGGACACACCGGTTCGAAGCAGGATCAACCAAAAATACACCTCTCTCACTCTTCGCCCTGCTTCGGATCAGCATCCTTCCTCTTCCTCAAAAATTGAAGTTGGAAGATTACTTTGCCCGGAGCCCACTGCTGTCCTCCTTCAAAACCATAGTCATGATGGCGTTCTTATCCGCAGTTCTACGCTTTCGATGAATATCTAGGATATCCCCAAGTGGTAGGTTACTTATGAAATCCCCATGCACCATCAAAAAGTCCGTAGTAATTAGCTGCTTGGAGTCGAGCTCACGCATGGCGTCACCGACTGAAGCACTGGCCGGTGACAGAATGATTCGACAATTCTTGAAGGGTGACGATTTCTTTGCCCATCTCGAGGAACTGAACAACAATCAGCGAGGCAGGCAGGTAGACAGCGAAAAGTAGGAGCAAACAAACCGGATGTACTCCTCAACCTTCTCGGCATGGCTAGAGGCGAATATAAAAACGTCTTGGACCCCGGAAAGAGCAAGAAACTCAAGGGTATACTCGATCAGAGGCGTATTTGCTAAGGGGAGAAGGCACTATTATAAACCCGGACGAAAATCAAAAATTTGGCCCACTACCCGCAGACAAAATGTCAGGGCAGAACATCCTACCCTAGGAGTCTCAAGTGTAAACGGCCGAAACCGTTTTTGAAAGGAATCTGCGAGCACCTAACCGGTTTACTGAGTTAGTAACTCCTAGCAACGAGACAAGCAGCGAGAAGGCTCAACATACGACAGCTTGCAGAATATTCTCTCGCTGTTCCTCTGCTTGCTTCTTCCCCCCGGGGGGCTTTTTATCTTTGCGGCTACTCATAAAGCTTGAGTTTTTCCGGCGATAACTGTCAAGGTAGTGGGAGCGTTGGTGGTGTCGTGGATGGATGGTGGGGTTGGAGTCACTGCCAAGAGGAAGTTTTCACATGCACTAAAAGTTGGATTCGAGTGAGAAACTGTGGAATACAAGTAGTCTATGCCTCGTATTCCCACTATATTCAACCTCCGAAAGCACTATTGGGAAGAGCTTCTCCCAACAGCGCTCAGAAAGTCATATATTGATCTACCGTATACTTGTATCGTGCTCTATATTCGAGTTGATGTCACTGATATAGTATTGATTAAACCACCATAAGATAAACTTGCGTGGTAAAAGATGCAACTTAGTATCGTACTTGTGACGGTATAGTGCTATACATGTGTCGTCGGGTATTAAAAATACATCACATATATGTACCGGGACCTATGATACCGACATCCTGAGCGGATACCAGTACACACTCGAATAAAAATACCTCCATGGAAAAGAGAAAAGAGAAGCTCGGCCAAATCATTCTAGGAAGAGGTGGTGATTCTGGCACTGTAATGCGCTGCGGAAAGGAAAAGAAAGAGAGAAGAGGAGAAGAAAAAAAATATGAACGCGGATTATGATACTGGTTCTAGGGGTTGGAAATATTCTCTCTATAAAGAAAGCACAAAGAAAAATCCATCCGCTCTCATCCATATCCACACACCCCCAGGCCTTTTAGTACCTGTGCCTTTCACCTCCTTGAATGCATCCACACGAGCCTCTCTCTGACTGGCTCCTCCGACTGGCCTAGCTGCTGTGGAAGTGCTGCTTGGTCCGGACTTTTTAACAATTTCTCCTTAACGGGGGATCCGAGCAGCTATAAAGATACACTAGCAATCGCCAACTGCGAGTAGACTAAGTAATCAAGAAGTACTGAATTACTCACTGTGCCCCCCCCCCCTTCACAACCGCTAGTACAACCCCAATCTGCCACTTCAGAGTTTTCAGACTGCCTTTGAGTCTCCCGATATTCCCCTTAATATCCCTAAATTGACAATGCTAAAGACAGCCTCCTAAGATTGAGTTCATTTCTTACACGAGTGACCCTCACAAAATTGTCCTCAAGACGGAAGATATGGGACTCGTGTGACGCATTGGGTACACAGGCCCCGTTGGGTGGCTTTTCCCAGGACTCCGACTTAGGCACTTCGTCGGGCGTGCTAGTAAAAGCTCTGTAGCATTAGATCTTCGAGCAGATCTTAAGGGAGCGAAACATGGCTACCCGAACGAACCGAGGCATTTTGCTGAAAGCCGATATTGCTTTAGTATTAAGCGATATAATGGCTGGTGTTTGATGGTTGGTCGTTGAATTGAAAGGTTGAAGGGATTCCTCCCTGCCTTATGCTTTCTTGAAGATATTGCTTCAATGTGACGGAAGCATGTTGAACGCAGGAGATTGGCAGGTACTCGGATCACTGTAACGCACTGTACAGTACCGAGTACAGTGCTCGAGAATATAGATACCTCCCATTGGTATGAAAACTGTGGTCATAGGCACAAAAGAATGCATACGAAAATCATTGCTTTCCCAACTAACTTCTTCTACCTTTCCACAACTCTCTGTTCCTACGAGTCTTCACATCTCTTCGGTTCCTCATTTCAGGTTATTGGTCTTGACCGACGAAGTGTTGGCTTGACGAAGGTGAGATTTAAAGCCACGACTCCCGACACCCCGAAGAGAAAGCGCCAAGAAAAGCTTTGAGGTGTTCTCCAGTACGAGTACTCGTAGACTACTCGTATTGTGCTCCTGCGAAGAAGATAATTGCGCGGGCATTGATTTTTAGGACTCCTGTAGTCTGCATATTATACGAGTGTGATACCCATGATGCCGGTATGATACCAGTAACATGATCTCGAGACACTCACCTCAATGTGCCCCACCCATCAGGAACCTGTCCCCAGCACCGGTTCTCCAAAAACTCCCCCTGAACTTGTGGCGTCGCCAACCTGTGACCGCCACTAGCCGCCACAACTAAATTATCGAGAGGTGTCCTCACTTCCTGCGTCCCACGACCGGAGCGTGCACTCCGGAACGTTCACAATTCTTGCCCTCTCTTCCATTCTCATCGCGACAAACCTCCCTGCAGCAACGACGTCCACCCTCCCCCTGCTACATCGATACATAAATACACTGCTTCACAAAGACATAAAGAAAAAGAGGAAAAAAGGAATGTCAGCTCCTGTAGCTCAGTCTCCGCCAACAGCTACTCCGGAAGCGCTGGCGGTGGCCGAGTTCCTTCGTTCGCAAGATCTTAAATGCAGGACTTGTATCTTGCAAGGACAGAGGAAGGATTTGTTCAAAGGTAATCCCACCTCCCCGCCTCCATCTTGCAACCCTTCCTCTTCCGGGATAATGTAACTGCACTCACGAGGTTGCTCCCTTCGCAAGATTGGATACGTTCTCCATCTGGTGAGTGGTTATTAGTACGGGGAATCTCGTGAAGGGTGAATTCTCGTGAGGGCTGGGACCACGTTGCATGCAGTTTGATATATTATGTTGAGAAAATGACTAACGATCATAACGACGTGATGCCATAGTCAAGCGGGCCCTCCGAGCCCTGATGTCAGAAGCCTACACAAAGGCTCGAAAGAAGAACGCCCTTCTGCCCCCGGTGGTGGACCACAACTCAGCCGTTCATGTATTCTCCCTCCTCCCACGCAACCTCCTAGCCCTGCGCGTTAGCAAGATCGACCCGGCAGCCGACGACGGCCACGGCCATGGCCACTCGCACGGCAAGCCCGCGAAGCGGATTAAGGGGCTCTGGACCGTCAAGATCGAGCAACAACAAGAGATGCGCGACGAGCTATACTACACGTGGTTCTATGAGCCGCGCACCTGGAAGCAGACCATCATGGCAATCGGCGTTATCGTCGTTCTATTGCTCGTCGTCATGTTCCCGCTTTGGCCGCCGATGCTTAGATTGGGGGTCTGGTATCTGTCCATGGGCATGCTAGGGCTCATCGGGCTTTTCATATTGATGAGCATCTTCAGGCTCATTTTATTCTTGGTCACTACTGTTGTGTTGTCGCCTGGTATTTGGCTGTACCCGAATTTGTTCGAGGATGTTGGTTTCTTTGATAGCTTCAGACCTCTTTGGGCATGGCATAAGGTAGGGCCCGTTGGCGGGTTATTTAGTTATCGGGCCTGTGGCTAACCGTTGCGCAGGTTAAGAAGTCTAAAAAAGGCGGGAAGAAGGCGGCGATTGAAGACAAGGACACCGAAATCACCAACGAGAAGTCGGCCGCTCCGTCTTCTACCCAATCATCTTCGGCGCCCACTTCCACCGTCACACCTCCTAAGCCGACTGTCGAAGATGGTTGAATCCATTAACCTGGCCAGCTATTTCCTTATATATATATGGTTCATTGTTGGGTAGACGGCCATCTCTACAGCTGCACGACTAAAATGGCTAACGGGGGCAGGAGGCGACAGCAGTACGGGAGTGTGCCCTCCCCCCACCCCTATGGGGGGCGTTTTGTTATAAACATGGAGTGTAGTTGTTTTTGAATTATTGTAAAAAAATGGGAAAATAATTCCACAATATTGTTATTCCGAAAGTTCGGATTTTCGTTGTTTTTTCTTATGTTTCTTTCTTTTCTTTTCTTTTCTTTTCTTTTCTTTGTTTCTTTCTTTTTTCCCTCTATCTCCTTTGAAAGGCTATAGTAGTATTAACGTCATGATCTTCCCCGAAAATGCCGTACTGCTAGTACATGTACCGCACTATCCCCCGTCCCACCTCGCTGTGCAAATAGGCACCCACCTGTGTGCCATATTCTTCGTTGCAAATGAAACAGCTGCTGGGAGTGCTAGAAAAAGTGTAGCTTTCTTACTGTGCTGGTGCAAAGGGCGAGTGATATTATGTGAACCCATCACATTAATTGTCATCGAACCGGTCTCTATCAAATCAAAACCTATATTTTACAAATACGTAGTAACGAGTCCCGCGTCGCAAAATAAGAGAACCCATTTTATAAACTTGGTGAAAACTCAGAAAGAATTATCTATCATACGTTGAAACGCAAGATGATGCTATCACGACAACTATATGAGGAACCATCAAATTTCTGCATCCCCACACCCCATTTTATTTCTTCCATTTTTGTCTTCCATTCAGCAACCCCTCAGGCAACGCTACCGACAATCATCTCCGCTACGCCTTCCTCCTCTGCTCTCGCGGTAATCTTTAACGCAACACCGGTTTTGCTGCTGTACGCCATCTTGACTTGGGCGACTACTCTCCCGCCGGAGATAGTCTTGCCGAATAGCTTGAGGTTATGTGTAGCCGTATTCGCAACTACATCTGAGCCCTCTAATGGCTGGAGCGAAAGCGATTGGGAAAGTGCTTCACAAGCCTCTGTTGATGTTTGTTAGTATTTCTCGGGGAGAAAGGCGAGGGTTGTTGGATGGAAAGCATACCTTGAATGCTCTTGACGCCAGTTCCGAGAGAGAAGGTTTCTGTGACCTCACAGCCTGCAGCGCCAACTTGCTCCCAAACGTTCCCAAAGCTTCCTACAAATGATGGAACAACATAATCGCCACCGGTAAGCTCCAAGTCCTCCACTTGGTATTCATCCTCAAAGCCTTGATCTTCTGGTTCACCAGTGCTAGGATCGATTTCTTTGAGTGTGAATTTGAGGACATTGGCGAAGGTTGTAATAGCGTAATTGGACTCATCGCCGGTTCGCTTGAAAGAGACGTAGATTGTTCCGACTTCCTCAGTTGCCAACTTGGGCACAGGAATGATGAAGTCTTCCTCCAAGCCAAGCGCTTGCTCCTCGTCCTCAGGATCCGCGGGGGTAGCAACCATTGACACATCCTCCAGGATGATATCCATGAGGGTATTCTTGACGTTGAATTGGAGTACAAGGTGGTCTTTAAAAATGTGTTTGATCGCAGTAACCACATATTCGGTCTCTGCCTCTGTCAACTCCACTTCGCGGCTAGACTTTAGGAGTGGTCCGTAAGGTTTCAATTCAGGAACAGTAGCCAACTGCTGGGCGTGTTGTTGAGCAGCAGCGGCGGCAGATGTGGCCGCTTCTGATGCCGACGGAGCAGCCGAAGGCCTGGGTACACCCAGGGTGGTCGGTGCCCTGAGAGTTGGCATAGTGGTGGAACGGAGTTTGAGGGACCGATCCTCTGCGTCTGCCTCCGCACGAGTAACAATTGGGATACTGGAAATATCAAACGGCGTGCCGAATGTTGACTGATCACCTGTGACATACATAACCAACTGATGCTCGAAAATTGGCAGGGAAAAGGTTGACTCGTTCTTGATGAATTTCTCAGCGACCTCGCCCTCCTCCTCCTGGATAAGTCTCAGATTCAGAGCAGCCCTATCTCTGACCTCATCATCGGGATCATCAAGACATCGTGTCAAAAGCACAACAACACTCTTCTTGACTTCAGTGTCGACTTTCCCTTCTTTGCTTGCGACGCCAAATTTGGCCAAGGCTGTGACAGCTGCTGCGCGAACAACAGCGTTTTCAAGAACAACCCGGTTATATATGTAGCGGATGTACTTGGTAGGCTGGGATGTTTTTGGTCCCTCAGTGCCAAGGAGATGAAGAATGCGAACAGAAAGTTTGGTGAATTCACAATCTTCAATGAATTCGCAAAGATGGGCGAGAGCTATCGATATTGTAAGCGGCGTTGAGGGCGTTGGGGGGGAGGGATTTGCACTACTAACCTTCTTCCCTACTCTCAGGGACGAACTTGATCAAGTCAAACATGCTTTCTACCACGGCTCTCTTGAATTCGTAACCGCCCTCATCCCTCAAGATACCGCTAAGGAAGCTTAGCATGCCAGCCTGTTTGCTCGGGAACTTTAAACATAAAGTACGGATAGCTTCTACAATTGTGATTTTGAACTCGTCTGTGATATCAGCCATGATGGCACTAGTCTTCCCCATCAACCTGTCCATGGAGCCTTCCTTCGCTGTCTTGAGCAGAGTAGTGATAACAAACGTTGCAATCAAACGGTTAATATTGAATATTAATGTTTCTATGTCAATGTTGCAAACGTTAACTGCTGCGGGCCTGAGATATGCCAAGTTATGCAAAATCACAATGGCATTAAATTTAGCAACCGCACTACGTGAGGTCAAGTAAAGTTGCAAGGCTAATTTTGAAAATCATTAGTGTTGGACTCAATGATAGGAGGAAAAGTAATTCGTTATCTCACCGTGTATAGCCGGTGCAACTTCAGCATCTGTCACGTCCCTTAGTTCACAAATAGCCTTTGCTGCCTCAAAATTGACCATTTCGGCCTTATGCCTTAGCCAGCCATCTAGCAATGTATGCATTGGTTGCCGTAGCCCAGGGTCTTCATCAGCAAGCTTGGCGGCCAGCCGCACCAACATAATAACCGCAGCAGGGTTCTTAACATTGCCCGAAGAAAATTGCTGTACCATTTTGACCAAAGCCATTCGGTCGTGAGCACGCATTTGGTACAAGAGACCTATCGCATGGTATTGGGTCATTCCAGATCCTTGGGGCGTTGAAGAGGATGATCCAAATCCTAACGAGAAGGCAGGTGATTTGGAACCTGAAAGAACAGCTTCTTGAGTTTCGTTTGCCCACCTTCGGACAACATCGCGTGCAGTTGGGAGTAGGTGATAGGACGATACAAGTGCCGCGGATGATACAGAAGGCGTCTTATCCACAATGGCAGTTTTTAGGAGTCGTTCAATGGCTTGGACAGTTGTGCCCTGCATGTAGGGTTAGCTATTGTACAGATGAAACCAACAGCAGCATTTGTCTTCCGAAGAAAAAAAATCACATCTGGGGAGATTGGAATATTGCCACTACTCTAGGAGGGATGGAAGATAGAGTTGCCAAGGTCCGTGCATCTCTTGACATGCCAGTGCTCTGGGTAAAAAGGTGGTAAAAACTTACGTCGATAATCCTACACAATGCTCGGATAGCATTGGCCCTATAAACCTCCTGCTCTCCCGCACCCCTCCCCCCTGAACCGGCAACATCCTTCATGACCGAAGATGTAACCATGATAACATCTTCTGCTGTATCTGCAAGCTCCTTGATAACCAGATAAACCATCTGTCGGAGCGCTGCATCGCGGTGTTGGAAGAGCTTCGTAATGCCAAAAAAGAGGGATGTAGCTTCAGATGTAGGGAAGCGCTCTCCGGTATGTAGGAGATATGTAATCTTTGTTAAGAGAATGCGACAACGCCGAGGAGAAATTGGGGATGTATTGAAGAGCCGAGCTTAGGTACCAGTGGTATTAGCTTAATAACACCTGTACATACTGATCGCAAAGAATACCTTCTTGGAAGACAGAGGTGCGGTCAACTTTAAAGATTGCCTGGTCAGCATCTTCATCCTTTTTTGAGTACCTCATGGTGGAAGAACTGTGGAGCTGGAGGAGCGGGAGAGGTAGTAATAGAAATGTGTGTTTCGTCAGTTTTGTCGGCCGTAAAGTCGTAGCTGTCGTCCTGGATGAATTCCCCCCCTTTCGAATTAGCTGCCCTGTGGAATTGTGGACCCGACTTTGTGTAGAGGAAAGTTGTCTCTATAGACAGAATATTACCCGGCCGAATAATCAGGCACGTGGGTTGAGTGCTGATTGTGGCTAATGGTTCATAATAATATTATTATGATATCATGTATATTATGTGGCTGTGGTATATGTGGCTATGGAGCGACTTGTCCCATGGCCATGATTGGTGAGAGATCTCAACCCCGATTCCTTTTCGCAACTCCGAACGTCTTCCATCATCAACCCCCGCGCCGTCATCTCATTGTCTCGCACTCTCTCCGCTCATCACCATTATGTTTCCCATTCGCTCTGCCTCTATTGCCAGGGCAATTGTGCCCCGTGTTGGGAGGGCGTATGCTGCCGCCTCCACCTCCACAAGGCCTCCGGTTCAGTTGTTTGGTGTTGACGGAACATATGCCTCTGCCTTAGTTTGTACCCCTACTACCCCTCTACCTAATTATGATTAAAACATTTTTGCACCTTTCGTAAATCACAAAATGCTCATGTCTATGTCTATAACAATTTTTCTACCCTCACGACGACCCGGAAAACCCTCATGACCGACCCTAGCTAACTCTTGGGTCCAGTACACTGCGTCTGCCAAGACCAGGTCCCTTGATTCTACCGAGAAATCCCTCCAAACACTCAAGGGGATTCTCCAGAAGGACCCTAAATTGGAGACTATTATCAGCTCTCCTACCCTCAATGCCGGTGATAAATCCCAGATCATTGCCGAAATCGCCAGGCCCATCGCTTCGGACAAAACGGTCAAGAATCTTCTTGAGGTGCTAGCTGAGAACAACAGACTCGGCCTGCTACGTGGAGTTATTGACAAATACTCTACACTTATGAGTGCGCACAAGGGAGTGGTTGAGGCTGTCATTACTTCTGCTTCGGTAATGCCCCTTAGTTGCTATTGGAGGGTTGGGTTGCGATGGTGGGGGTGGTCGAGGAAACAAGCACTTTTATTTATATGGTGGAATAGTTTGGGTTAACATGCTGTTTGCGTAGCGACTCGATCCAAGGACTGTTAGTCGCCTTGAAACTGCCATCTCTAAGTCACAGTACGTCGGAGCCGGTAAAACACTTGAAGTCGTGAATAAGGTATGTTCTTTGTTGGCAATACAGGATACTCTGCTCTTGCTGACTCCAATCTCCTTTAAAGGTTAACCCTGAAATCCGCGGGGGCTTGGTTGTAGAGATTGGTGAGCGGACTATTGACCTCAGTGTCTCTGCCAAGATGTCTAGGCTCAATAAGCTTTTGACCGATGCACTGTAAAAATATTCACTCGAAGTGGAAATAAACCCCTTGAATGGCGAAACGTTGATAGAATAGGGGGGATAGAGCATTTATAGCTGAAAGAAGGGTGGCTTGGATATCAGTAGTTGCCGTCAGAAGTAGTGATAGTAGGCAATTGTCATCATAGAGTGTTGGTATCATACTCGTACATGACATTCCCGTTCTTTTATAAAGCCCTTTACCCTGGCAACACGGTGCTTTGGTTTTTTGTATGATATCATAAGAACAGGTCCATGGTTAACCTCAGAAATAAGCTAATCGATGGGCTATGGGAACGAGAGCAAATAAGGGAGAATTTCCCAGCTTGAGACCTCGAAAACATGAAGGAATATCGGAATACGGTACTGTGGTGACTGGAAAACGGCCCTTATACATAATTGTAGTCATAAGAGTTTCTCAGTTTTAAGGCATACTTGCTGAATAAGATTTGGACAAGAAAATATCAATGGTTATCGTGGTATTAAACCCCTAAAACATAGATCCCCACCAACTAGGATTCGTTATAGGCGGTGCAATAACTGTTCTCGCCTCAGCGCGTTTCGAACGCCTGTATTATTTTTGTTATGAGATCCCTCGATACCACTTTTTCTAACCGTCCATCTTGACATCTGTACCCCCTGAACCTCCATTGCCAGATATCCACAGGACGTTGTTGCATCTTAATACGAGAAATCGTGAATCAGTATTTGTGCGGGGAAAAACGAGGACTAGACCTTAAAAAAAACGCATACCTGATGAGAACTTGCCCCAAGCTGCCCGTGCTCTTGCCATCCACAAACTCTTCTGTGCCGGAAAGTTGGATATTCATATACGAATCAGCGCTAACTAGCGTTCCCTTATATTCAGTCTGCCCCCACTTTAGACGAACGGTGACGCTCTGGTTTACCCTATTTGCTCAATCAGTACCAGCAAATAGAGAGGGCTGGGGTGCTCGAGCGACGTACAGCGATTGAAGCATCGGCCGGGGGTTTATAGGGATGAAAGACTAGATAGCCATTAGCAAAATGTGCGGTGTGTTAGAAGGTTTGAAGGGTTATACACTCATGCTTTTGGATATTGGTGAGGTGTTTCGTTTAAAGGTTAAGATTTTGGCTGGGGTTGTTGTAGGAGCTTGCGGTTGCTGCGGTTGAATACTGGCCCTTCATCGCAGGGTAACTGCATTTCCAGGACAAGGTAGGGTAACCTATTTCTCCCGGATTCGTGGCATCACAATTATTACACCTCGGCGCTTGCATCTAGAAACATCAGTTTGTCGCCAACACCATCATCGAGAATGTCCCCCGGAACCCCAACTCCCACGCAGGATACGTTTGTGCCTCTTGATCAGGTGAATAAACCTCCGGAGGGAGTAGTTCTTCCTCCCAAAGATCTCCGTGGTATGTTTTGTTTCGATCCTGTTTCCCCCTATCTGCTCTTGAAGCTAATTTGCGCGCAGCCATCGTCGAAAAAACTGCGGGCTATGTAGCGCGTAATGGACAAGTGTTTGAACGTAAGTTTTGATTCTCTCCCTCCCTTCTCTGATTTCCTCAGGCTGATTCCTGGTAAGGTTGAGGAACATACCGGGGGGAATTGTAAACGCGTCGCGAGAATATCCCCTTGTACTTATTGCTAACAAAATTACAGAGCGAATCCGCGAAAAGGAGAAGCATAACCCCAAATTTTCGTTTTTGAACTCGGCGGATCCCTATTACCAATTCTATATATGGCGGCTTGAAGAAATCCGAGCTGGCCGTGGAACTGCGCTGGCCGCCGGGCGGGCTGGACCGGCCGATAATGTGCCAGCAGAGGCTGAGAAGCCCAAAGGCCCAAAGGAACCCCCGGAGTTCCGATTTTCAGCGAGAATGCCAAATATCTCTGCGCAAGACCTTGACATTTTACGGCTCACCGCCTTGTTTGTCGCAAAAAACGGACGTTCCTTTCTCACAACACTCTCTCAACGTGAAGCTCGAAACTTCCAGTTTGATTTCTTGCGCCCTAACCATTCCTTTTACCAGTACTTCTCCAGATTGGTGGATCAATATACCGACTTACTGTCGCCAGGTGGGGGGGTCAGCGTTGAAGAACTAGAAAAGAATGTGAGGAATAGGTTTGATTTATTGGACCGTTCTAGAGGAAGAGCCGAGTGGACCCGATGGAAGGAGAAAGAGAGGGAGAAGAAGGAGGAGCAAGAGGACCAGGAGAGATTGGCTTATGCCCAAATTGATTGGCACGATTTCGTTGTTGTCGAAACAGTCCTTTTCACTGATGCCGACGACCAAGCGGAACTGCCCCCTCCAACATCTCTCTCGGACCTGCAGCATGCTTCACTCGAACAGAAAGCAATGATGTCGCTTCATCCGACTACGCTTCGTATCGAGGAGGCTATGCCCACTTCTGACCCGGAACCCGTTGAAACCCCATGGCAAATGCATATGCGGCAGCAGGAAGAAAATGGCGCGATGGATATGGAAATGGAGGCTTCAGACGACGACGAGGATGAAAGGCAAAAGGAACAGTCGAGGAAACGGCAAGCCCAGGAGGCGGCAAAGGCCGGGCCCGGTCAAGGCCAAATGAAGATTAGGAGTGACTATGTACCTCGGGCTCTGGCAAAGAGACAGCAAGGTTCGATGGGCATTTGCCCGAACTGTAAACAGAGTATTGCATTGGATGAGATGGAGGAGCACATGAGAAGTATGTTACTCAGTACCTTTACAGTAATATGCATGACTGACACCTACTTCGATAGTCGAGCTCCTTGATCCGCGCTGGAAGGAGCAGCGCGCTCGTGCAGATTCTAAGCAGGCAACCACTAATCTATCTACCAACGACACCGTTATGAACCTGAAGCGTCTTGCATCTCAACGAGACGATCTATTCGATTCAAACTCCGGAAGACCTGTGTCTGCGGAAGAATTAGAACGTAGAAAGAGAGTAGCAACTGGCGGTTGGGATGGGTCCGCGGAAACGAAGGAGGCTGCTAGAATGCAGCAGTTGCAGAATGTCAATGTTCAGGAGCAAATCGATGCAATCAGAAGGAAGGCTGGAGCGGTTAGCAATCCGGGGGTTGGGCCGCAGAGGCAGTAACTTAGTTCCTTGGTTCGTTTCGTCCCTAAGGAGGTTTCAATGTATCTTTTAATAGACTCATGTGGTGGAATGGTTTGATAACCTTTTTCTCTACGGCACATGTATGAAAGGGTTGTTTGATTGAGTTCGTCGCTATGGTTGAAGTGAGCGTTGCTCGGGCGTTGTTATTCGTTAATAAACTATAGGCATTGGTGACCCACGACAGAAGGTTCACGTTCTGAAGTCGATTATTCGGCCCGAACCGTTACAATAGGTGTTGATAATGCCAGTGGATGTGTGAGCAGATTAAGGCCGCCTGATAACCGCATTGTAGTCAAATTCTACGGTGGGGCACCGTATGATTAGCGGATATCCAACGTGTATCTGTCTTCTCGCCTTGCTCGTGCTTAGACATTCCCCCTATCCCTCCCTCCCCGAGTTGGTAGTAAAACAAAGGAATCTATAAGAATGGCGTAGGGCTCATAGCGCGGTGTGTATGGGGGTAGGTTTTGTCGATACTGTGCCGGTGTTAAGCGCGCATGTGCCGGCCGAAGCCGGTATCATTCAATCAGAGATGGAATGATGCCGTGTCTCTGCCGCTTGGTGAAAGTTTGTCCTTAAAGGAGACTGGCTTCAGTAGCTGCCTGTTCACTCTCTGAAGTCTAGGTATAATTCCAACAATCACTGCTTGATCCATTCGTATGATATCATACGTCTTGAAGAACCCGAAGAGAGTGGCCGACCTGGGTGGTGCAAAGGGTATGTGGCAAAATAGCGTATAAAATCGCTGGTATCATGATGGACCCCGTCCAAGGGATCACGGTCGGGGTTTATGGACTTTCCTATATATGATACAGTAAGATTTTCGTATGATACCAAAAAATCTCCGTCCTTTGCACAAAGAGTGTGCGGGATCCAGCGATAGACCGAGGGATCGCAATGTTCTAAGATATTCTCTCTCTCTCTGCAGATTTCGCATCACGTGAGTAACAAGATTATGACTCTCGTGACAAGGAATCACTGATCATTGACGCCCTGTTTCTTCCCCTTTCCCGTGCTCGTAATCCGTGGTGGGCAACCACAGGCGATGGCCGGGTAACGTGTAAGCCATGACTGCCAAGCCTTAAAGGGCAGTAGCCCTAATTGTCATTGCCAAGTGTCCTGTGATTGGCCGACGAAAATTTGGCCGACTCAGACACCCTACAGTATAAAAGGCCAGCTCTCCCCACCCCCCTCTTTCCTCTCCATCCCGGTGCAAGGGCAAGATCGATAGCAGTGAAGATTCGTCTGAGCTTCGATTTTTGCTAGTTGAAAACTACAACTATATTGACTGCTCCTAGTCTGCTTCGGTGGGCTAGGGAATTTTTGTCCTCAATAGCGGAGTCTTATGTGCTCTTTGCTTCCTTTTTTTCTTTCGTTTATGTCTAGGCCGTACACGTTATTGTAGGCGTGGCATTTACGAAGAGAACTTGGGTGGTCTAGCGGGACTTTGTAGAATGAAGCCTTTGTAGTCTAGTGGTAGAAGCTCCGTGGGTTAATGTTGTTGTTTGCAGCACTCGCACTGTTTTGGTAATATAGTGCTTTTGCCGGTTTACCACCGTCCTTGTCCTGCTGTAGCCGAACCACGTTGGTTGTGCTCGCTTTCTTGACATGTACGGTACTCGAGCACTGTATCGTCACCCCATCATGATCCTTTCCCGTTCAATCTGCATCTCTCCCGTTAATGACATTGGGACTTAGGTAAAAGGGTAGGAGATCTTTTGACGAAAGAATTCTTATTCGCCAGGGTTAGGTGTTCCCAATGATCTGCGTTCTTTGAGGGCCTGGGCCGTCGAACGTCATCCGACATTGATATGATAACTTACCAACGGCCAAGGTCCCTCAAACTCCTTTCTCTGCAGCCCCAAGAACGCCTCGGAACCTTTCGTTTTAGGGATACCGACGCAAGATACCCGGTATCCCACGCCTCGCCCTTCCTCTCTCCACAGCAAGCCTTCACTTCACCTTTCGAGGTATCATAATTGACAACAAACAAACAACGGAACAATGGACAAAGTTGTGAACAAGATTGCTGCCCTCCCACCGGGTGAGCCGTATCATAGTCTTGAGTTTTTTCCGCCAAAGACTTCAATGGTGACTCCGCGGACATGACTCGCCGGAGAGAGAGGGCAAAGAGCAGCTGACGTGAATCTTCACAGGGGTTTCAAAACCTACAAGCCCGTCTGGAGCGCATGGCTCGTGCTCTCCGGCCTCTATTCGTTAACGTTACCTGGGGAGCTGGAGGCTCAACCGCCACCAAATCCCTTCAGCTTGCCGAGATCTGTCAACGCCAGCTCGGCCTCACCACAGTGCTACATCTGACATGCACGAACACGTCACAAACCGTTCTGGACGAAACATTGGAAACGGCAAAGGAGATTGGGATTCGCAACATTCTTGCTTTGCGGGGTGATCCACCAAGAAGCGATGATTATCATAACACTCCGTGTGACGGGACTTCCAACGGCGCCGGGAAGGAGTTCGGGTATGTCATTGATTTGGTCAGATACATACGGGAGAAGTACGGTGATTATTTCTGCATAGGAGTGGCTGCTTACCCTGAGGGTCATGTTGAGGGAGCTAGCCCTGAGAAACAGGATCCGTTGTTTGATCTATCATTCTTGGTTGAGAAGGTTAAGGCTGGCGCAGACTTCATAATGACTCAATTGTTCTACGATGCGGACAAGTATATCTGGTTTGAGAAGCTGCTAAGGGAGGAACCTTCGGGGGTGCTTTCCGAACTTCCGGTAGTTCCGGGATTGATGCCCATACAGAGTTATTCGATGCTGAAACGGATTACCAAGCTTAGTGGAGCTTCCTTACCCGCATATATTCTACGAAGGTTGGACGATGTCAAAGGAGATGATGAAGCGGTCAAGCGGGTGGGAATTGATATAGTCTCGGAAGTCATCGAGAAGATTAAGGCTGCGAACCTGAGCGGCCCAAGAGGGTTCCACTTCTACACATTGAATCTTGAGAAAGCTGTATCCTTTATTGTTGAGCGAACCAACCTTATCCCACCGCTCCATGAGTCCGTCCTCGAGGAAATTGAGGGCCCGGATATGAACGGAGCGGCTCTGAGAAGGGATAGGAGAACTTCTTCCGTAACCTCAGATCCTCATAATCGTGTGATTGTTGATAACTCCAGTTCTCTGCAATCGCCAAGGCTCGCAAATGCACTCGAAGCTGGCTTTCTGAAACCACCCGAGCGGTCTCGCCCGCCAGAGGTAGCGTTGGCAATCTCCGAAGGTGAGGGTGCTTTGGGGAGAGAGGCGACTTGGGACGACTATCCGAACGGCCGTTTTGGCGATGCGAGGTCTCCGGCCTTTGGTGAAATCGATGGTTATGGGCCGTCGCTTCACTTGTCGCAAGCCCAGGCAATCAAACTTTGGTCATACCCGGTTACTAAGCAGGACGTCTCCGACATCTTCGTCCAGCATATCAAGGGTGAACTAGAGGCTATTCCCTGGAGTGAGCAAGGTCTGAGTGTGGAGAGTAAGGTTATTGCGGACCATTTGGCTAAATTGAACCAGAAGGGATTCTGGACTGTGGCATCCCAGCCAGCGATCAACGGTGTTAATAGCACTGATGAAACCTTTGGCTGGGGGCCGAAGGGGGGTTTTGTATTCCAAAAGGCCTTTGTTGAGTTTTTCTGCTCGACAGAGGATTGGGAAGTATTGAAGGCAAGGCTAGAGAGAGTTGAGGATGTCTCCTACTATGCTGCAAACAAGGCTGTAAGCCAACCCTCCCTCGGGGCCGAGTGATTTATTCGTCAGTACTCTACTAACGGTCCCGTTCAGGGAGACTATGTTGCAAGCGTGCCCCCCGGCGGCAGCGCCATGCACGCAGTTACGTGGGGTGTCTTCCCGGGAAAGGAGTACAAAGCGTTCCCCCACCCTTCATAGTTACTCTCAATAGCATGCCCGGCTAACCGCCAAATCCCTTCTCTATCATTCATACAGAATTATAACACCAACCATAATCGAAGAAGTTTCCTTCAAAGCTTGGAAGGTTGGTCAAACTCCCACGAGTTGTCTGAATTTTCTACGGAAATTGACAAGCTTGCGCAACCAGGAAGAAGCTTTTAGTATCTGGAAAGAGTGGGCGAGGGTGTACCCGCCCACATCTGCGTCGTCGAAGTTGTTGATGGAAACTGCGGAGACGTACTACTTGGTTAATATTATTCACCACGGGTATATGGATCCAGAATTCCTGTGGAAACTGTTGGAAACGTAAGGGGTCGTTCACGCTGGTTGACATCTGCCGAGGGTTAGGGGGATGGGAACCTTTTTTATACTTCCATGGTGATGGGTTGTCTGGGGGTGGAGAGGGTGGTGTTTCTCCAGATGACGATTACACTTGTACAATTATGCGGTTGTAGTACTGGTAGTACTGGTACGATATTATTAGTTAATGAGATCTTGCTGAGGTGCGACTTGGCATTTGAGGCTTATGGTGAATATCTGATCTGCGTTCACCCCAACACCTGCGCTATAGATCCGGGCACCCCGACTCATCTATTAAGGCACCGTTTGGTATTATCATACAAGTTACCAGCCAAAAGCACACGGTAACGCATCAGGCACCTCTAAGTTACCCAGCGATAAAACTCCGATGACAATCCTACTCTACACAGTAGCGTGTAACTTACTCAAAACCCGACCCACAGTTACCCACCCGGTCCGGCCCAATCGTGATACACCACCACTTTTTTTTTTTAAAGAAAAACCCTGTGACTACCACACACCATTGCATATACGCCCCCCACCCTCAGCATACCATAGCATACATTGCCCGGTCTTATCCCGCACACCGCGCCGTGCGATCCCGGTCCGGCCCGGTATTGCTCCTACAGTACACCGAGACCCCCGAAAGGTGCACTGCGCTAGCGTCCGGTGTGTTGAGGTGGCTTGGATGTGTGGGATGTGTTTACTACACCGGACACAGATGATAGTTAAACATTGTTGGAATTTTAACGTTTTTGTTATCATACAAGTGTGATATTGCGGGGCTGGGGGCTGACGGTGTGCAACCGCTGTGGTCTATTGGGGAGTTCTTAGAGGTGCGTATGATATATCATACATACATAACTTTTAGGTTCTAGGTTTGCGAGTGAGATTGGGTGATACGGTGGGTGGGATGGCCGGAATACCGTAGGTTACCGGGCTGAGGCAGAGGGGTGTCCGAGCTTAAGTTAAGTGTTTAGTTTGCTCTTTTGAGAGTTTATGGATTAGGTGGGGGGGGGTATCGTGAGTTTGGATAAGGTCGAGAGTTGTTGGGGAGTGATTGGGTTTATTGGGGTGTTTTAGTTTAAAGGTGAGGTACTGTACTGCCAAGACGTTGGTGTTGCCTCTCCTGGTAAGATCTGGTATCATATATTTTTCTGTTTATTCGGCTTAGATGAGGGAGAATGTCTTCGTTGTGCTTTCTCCCTTTAACACAAAGGGGAAATTCCGGACACCCCAGCGTCATTCTCAATTATCCCCGGTAATGGGTGCTAGGTTTCCTAAGAGTGGTTTTGGAGTAGTCCAGAGGTTGCAACCTCGACGTCGAACGTGGCGAGTACCGGTACTGTATCCTGTTGAGAGGGACTACTCCCCTTGATATCTAAAGTGCCGATAACCGTTAAGTTACTCTGCCCACTATTTCCTCTGGACCCCAAAGTGCCAGTATTCGCTCCTGCTCCTGGATTCTCGAGGCTGACATAACCCATTCCTCTTCATCACAGTTCACCGCCAACGACAGAAAGAGTACAAGATGAACCGAACTCAGCCCTGTTTTCCCCCTACCGTCAGAGCTCCAGGTGCTGTACGGCATCTCAGAATACCAGGTCCTTTAGTCCTTTAGTTAGTGAGCTAGGGAGCTCATTTCAACGCAGTCACCGTACCGTATGCCGGTGCCGTCCACGATGCACACCGGCACTGCTACTAATCATTTTCTCTGACCGCAGGGAAAGGGATAGTATAATAAAGCATGCACACAATGTGGGATTTAACATAATGGGGTCGCCCATATTTTTTTTAAAAAAAGAAAGCTTTCCACCCCCGTTTCCACAAAAAATTCGCCAAAAAGTTCAATCGATAATATGGGGTTTACATCTTGGTTGTCTTTCGTTACTTCTGCGGTATTGGCTGCCTCTGTGCTGGGTCTCACGAAGATAGCGTGGGTGCCTTGTTTTCCTGTTAGTGTTGAAGAAGTAGCTAACTGGGTCTTATTTTTTTTCCCCCGTAGACCATTCATCGAGACACCGAGGAGAGGCGCTGCGGTACCTAATCGGGATGGAGTGAGTGTCTTATATGGAGTCAGTGTTGATGGCGGTGGGTTGTCTAACTGGTGGTATTAGACTCACGCCCTTTTTTTGACCACAAAATATGATTTGCGAACACATAAATCGTCGTCAGAATGGCGGACGCTGGACTTAAGTAATGGGGAATTAAAAACTGTGTTCAAAGATGGTGGGGTTGACGATGTTGTTTGGCTGGATGACATGAACATCCTATACCTTACCTCGGGGGCCGGGGCTACTGGAAATGAACTCTGGATAGTGGATATTGGGGAGCCGGAATCGAAGTTGGTACACACTTTTAGAGTGACACTTTTTATTGTATATACTAACGGGGAGTATTTAGATATAAGGTTCTTACTTTTAAGGGGAAAGTGAAGGAGCTGAAAGTGGGCATGAATACAGGAGGCCGCATTAGGTTCGCCGTGACTGGCACTGCAAATGTCAATACCGGCGCTATGGTAAGCGTGAAAAAGAGAAAATTCTGGCATTCGGGTCGGACATATAATTCACTATTTGTTCGACATTGGGACAGGTATATGAGTGAGGATGAGAACAACGCTATATTTGTTGGAACACTTGAGAAGAGGAACAAAGGAGGTAGATACCGGTATATCAAAGCAAGCCTTCGTAGTATTTCGGCTGCTTATCACGGCCTCCAAGGTCTGGTGCCTCTGGGCCTTGAATCGCCCGTTGGTCCGCAAGGAGGTGCTAGTGATTTCGAAATATCTGATGATGGGAAATGGGCTGTGTTTGTGGCCAAAGACCCTACTATCAATCAGGCGATGTGGACTACTACCTACGTATACTTGGTCGGGCTCGACGATCCTAATAGGCCGCCATATCCCATCAATGCTCCAGCGGAGGGATCCTGTCGTCTTGGGGCATCATCTTCACCAGTATTTCTGAATGGGGGGGAAGATGGATCAAACCCTACTATATATTACTTGCAACAGTTCGAGAATGGATACGAGGCGGACAGATGGAGGATTATGAAATATGCCGTGCCAGCAACTGTAGAAGTCAATGAGACCAAGCCGGTCGCTATACAAGAGGACTGGGAGTTTTCTCCAGATGCTCTTGTTGTGGGTGGCTCACAAGTTATGGCTCTCACAGAAGTACACGGACGCACTAGGCTCTGGCAAATTGAGGAGGTAGAGGAGCCGATTCCTTGGACTGGACGTGAACATGGCTCAATCTCGGCCGTACACACATTACCTGATCAGAGGCTACTATTGACTTCTTCCAGCATGGCCCACCCGCCGTTTTACACCATTCTAGACCTGATAAAGAATGAGACGAAGCTCATCCTTGGTCCTGAGTCAATACCGAAGCCAATAGGGGAGCTCGAGCATGACAATGTAGAAGAGTTTTGGTTTGAAGGGGATAATAACAAACAGGTTTCAATTTTCTGGATGTATTATTTTTGGAGTTAAGTTATGCTAATGGAATTATAGGTGCATAGTTTGTTGGTTAAACCGAGTCACTTAAAGCCCCAAGAGAAATACCCTCTTGCACTTATCATTCATGGAGGCCCGCAAAGTTCCTGGAAGGATTACTGGAATATCAAATTGAATCCCAAGATTTTCGCTGAACACGGATATGTGGTTGTTGCGATTAATCCCACCGGAAGCGTTGGGTATGGCCAAGATTTTACAGATGCAATCAAGAACAACTGGGGTAAGACAACCCTCCACTGCTAACAAGAGTAAATTACTGATTTGAAATTATAGGTGGATCTCCTTACATCGACCTTATGAAAGGCTATGACTACGCTATAAAAAATTTCCTCTTTATAGGTGGGTATATGACAAACTGGATCCAAGGTCACGATTTTGGTCGGAAATTCAAAGCTTTGATCTGTCATGACGGAATTTTTTCAACTCCTGGAATGTACGGTTCCGAAGAGCTGTGGTTCACCCACCATGAGGTAAGGACCTGCTATCTCTGCAACTACTGTATTGTAAACGATACTGACCGGAGGTAGTTCAACGGAACCTTGTGGGAAGCGAAAGGGAGCTTCGATAAGTATAATCCGGCACGCTTTGCGGATAAATTGGCGACACCGCAATTGATTATTCACAATGATCTCGACTATCGTATTCCTGTGTCTGAAGGTCTTGCTGCTTTCAACGTTCTCCAAGTTAAGGGAATACCTAGTAGATTTGTAACGTTCTTGGACGAGGGACATGTGTATGTTTTTTGGCGATATCTTGCCTTACCTAATTATCGGCGTGCTAACAAATTTGCAGTGTCCAAAAGAGTGAGAACAACTACAAGTGGTTGAATGAAATCGTCGACTGGATGAATACCTGGACAGATGCCAAAAACCCAGCAGTCCCTATCCGGACGGATACCTCTGCAGACCCCAAAGGTGTAAGCCCGACAACGGGTAGCCATACGCCACAAAACGGCAAAGTCCGGCTGGCTGTTGGGAATGACGATACATGGTGAGATGAGGGTGAGGCCAATGATGGTGGTAATGAAGTATATCGGTAACGGGACCATGCAAGCCAACCTTATATGAGAAACCCTCACCATAATGTGTCTGACCACGTGAGCTCCCCGTTTTTGCCTCCATGGAATAAACGGAGTTCTTGTGTTTTTCTTATAATAAAAATTATTAATAATATATACTTTTTCTCTTTCCCTATGAATTAGGGGTTTTAGGACCACGATACTGTAATTAGGGTCATTATGGGGGTTCGCAAATAAATTCCCATATGACCACTGGCGTGGGGACAACTGCAGAAGTCTCATAATATAAGCACCCGTAAAATTATCGGTGTCCACAGTATGATAACTTAAGCCTGCTTGAATCACAATATTTCGTCACCAACAATCACTCACCAGTCACTAGTGGTCAAATGGTAACGTACGGTGCATTACCATACTTTACCATACTGTATGGTACGGTAACTTACTGTAAACCTACCAGGCACTGTTAACAGACCATCATAGAAAAAGTAGCCCACTCATGTAAATAGTCTGTTTCATGATTACTCCATCGGCTCTTCAGTTTTCTGGACATTTGTTAACTTTGTAAGTTGCATTTTAAGCAGAAAGGGAAAAATACAATAACTGTTGAGAAAGAATATGGCAAAATTGAAGAGACTGAGTTTACATATAGTATTCCTAAGTAGTATAAACTCAGACTCCGAATTCACAAGAAGTAAAACAAAGTTCAGAACAGTACACAGATATAGAATTAACTACTGGTACTATGAATAATAACATTATGAATCCAACTTGGTTCCTCCTCAGTAGCATCCTCCACTATATAGTCCTCTTCATATGCTACCAAATCCTCATCCTTAAGCCTTTTGTCTAACCATCCTCAAATCTCTGTAGCTTGGCGATCCAAGATATACTTATTGATATGAATGAAACTTAATTTATCAGCCCGTTCAGTACCCAACCAGTTACGCTTCTTATCATGTAAAAGATTCCGCGTAGAAAATACTCGCTCTGAAGGAACTGAATCTGCAGGTGTAGAAAAGTTACGAAGTGCTGAACGACCAAGGTCAGGTGTAAAAATTGAAACTTCTTGCTAAAAGGATTGTGCTGAGCTAGCCAATTTCCATAGTAATCCAGTATGGGAAAAGCAACTCTGCTGACTTCAGAATTGCCCATATTGTTGTCTTACAATTCCAGACCCATATCGTTTCAAGAAGGATATATTAACTTTATTCTCTACGGAGGTTGGAATTTGCTCACTTGCAACCGAGACTGGGTCAAAGAAGTAATCAATAAGATGAATCAGAATATATTGCTTTTGGTAACAGGCTAAAAAGACTGGTAATAAACGTACTGTTGCTTCCAGTTTGAGCTGAAAGATACCAACCTCCCAACAGGTAAATTTAATATGCTTATGAATTTTGATCCAATGTTGATGATTCGGCAAACATGTGCATGCGTAGATTCTGACATCTTTTGTCTTTCTGAAATACCTTCTAACAAGGTATACAAGTCATCCAAACAAGCCTAAAAAGTAGTCTGCTGAATTATGGACTTTACATCTGGTGTTGATTCAGCACTTTCATCATTTAGATAACTTATCAACGATCTTTTGTTATCCAATACTGAACTGATCAAGCCAGTTTGAGTTCCCTATCATGTGCTAACTGCAAGAACAAAAGCATTTGGCTTTCTGAGGTGGATGTATTGATGCTCTCGTAATATAGAATACTGAAGTTTTGCTCAGCAGAAAAAAGTACAATCATTTGAGCTTTATCAAGAAGTGCTGAATAGGGATCAATATCGAGCAAATTATAGATTAAGAGTTGCAAGCCATGAGAGTCACATAGAATACAAAAAACATGCTTTATTCATGAATCATGTTCTACAAATAACCATACTGCCCACATTATATTACATGTATCTGTAATCAATGAATTGAATCGCCACTATCCCTGACCTCCTACTGGAACTTGTATCTGTTGTATCATCTACTTAAACAACATTTGAGCAGTTTGCAATTGGTCTTTACTGTCTTCTGTTTTGTAGTAGAAGGTATCAATTAGTGTTACAATACACATATTAATGATTCTTCGGTTGGCAATATTCCCACTTTCATCTATAATTATATTCAAATTGTCTTCACTATCGAGCCTCATGATGACCTCCCGATGTACTAAGTTGTAGGCCTTTTCTAGCAAGTGTCCTGCTAACTCTGTGTGGGTTAGTGGGATATAGTTGAGATAGTGTTAGGGGGAGACAATCTGATAGACTTCAGAATTGTCTAGGCCAATCGAAATTCATTTCTGTAGACAGAAATTATCTAGGAAGGCTTGGGTTTACTCTTTTCATTTATGACTACTAAGAGTGAAGTAAATTCGGTAAAGTAAAATAAAATTGTAAAAACAATATTATATTATTAAGGTCTCTTCTCCGTTGCTTGATCATGTCTAAAGCTTGGAAGGCACTTCGATATTTATATTCTATATCTGAGTATTTGCAGACTACATCTATTTATCATACCACTATGTATCTTTCTGATTATAACTCGCAATGTCGGGTATTCTTAAAAGGTGTGAACACCTGGAGATCCTGAAAATCACCACACCCTCTTTACTAATTATAATATAATTAACTCGGAACTATACTGTTCTCAATAGTAGTTATTCGATCTTTAGAGTCTTTAAACTTGTGGTCTAGTTTTCAAGTTGAACTGAGTTGGCTCCAATTATCTTCGTTATTGATGAAATGATTAGTTTCATCAGCAGGTTGTATCTGCGAAGGTAGTCATAATCACAATCCTTTTTTGGTTGCCTGACTTTAAATATCCATAACTCTTTACCCAACCCATAAATATCTTCCGGAGAACTTCCTACTAATTCGCAGAAAGCTATTTTACCGGATTGACAATTATTTCCTCGGTCGGCAACCCTTGGTTGCTTTGGGTAATAGGATTTCAATCACTGTTGTAGTATGAGAAGTTGTCTTCGTAACTACATCGTGTTCCGAAACCTGATTGTGACACTCCATGAAATCTAATAACTTCTATAGTAGTGTTTCTCGAAGTTCTAAACTCTTCTAGATATTGTAGGGTGGGTGTGAATATATTGGTCTCTTGCTGAGATCATTTACCATTCAATACTATCTCTTTATGCAGACACGTCCCATTATGTACAGCCTATGCTAAAGATATTACATCTTTGAAGCCTAGTAAAGTTCTGAGTAGTTAATGGATTTACTCCGTTCTACTTCTCAGACCTAGCCAAAGGTCCTCTCTCATATATCCCGCGAACAGGATCCAGTCAGACAGATGGCAGCAACGTATACAGTGTTATTCTGACACCTTCATTTCTGTGGTATTATAGTCACAGGACGCAACTGAGATTAATATGTATGATGATGTACAGGCCCCTTAAGGGGGCCAGAGGGGGCATAAGAGACCAGAGATTCCAATTCTGGGTGAGGTTACCCTACTTAGGGTGACTCCTGGGTATTGGATCTCGGTATTCCTAACAGATAGCCAGAAAGACTACTAAGTGATTGTTGAAAATACTTGTCATCTAAGAGAGTAAATGTTCTACCTCCCATATATACCGCAAATGCAGCATTCAGCTAAAGTACATCCTTCCTCTCAGGTGTTAGAAGTACCAAGGTTCTGTCATCATGGACCATACTGTTATCGGAAATGGTACGTGGTTGGACTTTAGTAGTACTAAGACTTTGATTTCGATTCTCAGAGATAGGACCAGAGGAGGAGCGATGATAGGAAGAACATTGTGCTAAATGCATAATTTGTCTTGTGATGTTGCAAGCTCTTATCCATCCACAATAGCAACATTCAACCACCCAACACTAAAAAATCATAGGAACTGTTAGTTCTTATTTCAGAGAAGAAACAAAGTCAGTTTTGAATATACCTTAAGCTCATAGTTCTGGTGTACAAGAAAAGCCTGTATGATCTCATCATTTGCTGCTTGTGGCATCAAGAAATTATGAATTTTAATGCTTGGTACAATAGTGGAGTTTGTTTGAAGCAGTTATGAACACAGTACGGTGACTGTGAATTGTAGGGGTTGGAGGTGAGATTGCTTCACATTGACATAATAGGATGGAAGACAGCCTTACCAAAAATCGGATGTTAGGATGAGAATCCTGTTTTCTGGTATTTTATCTCCTAGTGTAATTTACAGTAATATACCGTATGGTATTGATCGTGTAAGGTACGGTACGGTACCGTATTATTTGACCACTACCAGTCACTCCATTAGAGGATCTTGGCATTTCCCAAGAGAGCTTAAATAGTTTTGCACGGGCCTAAAAACTTCCCTTCACCTAACGTCATCATCATCGCTCCCTCACCAACCACCAACCACCTCAACCTCATCCTCCGCGAAAAACAACCCCAATTCCTATCCGATAACAACAACAGCAACAATCTGCGAAAATGGTCGAACTCCGTGAAGTAGAGGATGAGCACTTCGTCCACTCCCAACCTGCCCATTCCGACGACGAGGACTACACCGACACCGATAGCGAGATCTCAGAGGAGGACGAGGACGATGACGTCGACCTCGAGGAGTCCTTTTACGAACGGATCGCAGCGCTCAAGGACATGATACCATTGAAGCAGAGGACCTACATTTCCAATGGCTTCTCAAGGACTTACAACTTCTTCAGCAAGGGATTTGCGCTCGGTGGGAAGACGCTCTGGATTCTTTCCACCAGTGCGCTGGTGCTTGGAGTGCCCTTTTCTGTGGCGATTACGGATGAGCAACAGGTTGCCGAGATGGAGAAGGAGATGAAGGTTTGCTTTTTCACCTCCTTCCTTCCTTGCTGCTTGTCTTTGTTGGGGATTGAACTGATTGGTTGGGCAAAATAGATGACCCAGATAGCTACTGATGTGTGTATTCCTTGATGTTGCACGGATGTATGAGGAGTGGCTAATGGTCTATAGGCACTCACCCCCGGCGCGGAATCGGTACTCACCACCCCGCAAAAGTAATCTCAGAAACTCTCCTGTACAGAAAACACTTGCAATGTATATTATTTTTGGGGGGGTTCTATTTTTTTCGTGTCTCTCTTGGGGATTAGATGGATGCTGGTCTGGTGGGGGGAAAGGTGGTGTGGTATTCTCTCCTCTGTTACGTGCGGTTTTGGCTATTCAATGATGGGTTATGAGGTGATGATGTGTTGAAGCTATCAATGACCCCTTCCAGCGGTCCGGGCTGCTTGGTATAGTAACACGCGATTGCAGTTCAATTCAGAGGTTGATCGTTTGGGAGCCATATGGAATGTGCCGTGTCCGTAAAATCGGATAGTACTTGTAGTTCCGATTTCTCTCTCATTGGTAGGCTCAAACCAACAAAATTATTCAATTGTGACCCGTTTTCTTGCCGCCTGAGTTTCCCACACCCCATATCGCTCCAAACCTATGGCACCACTCATTTTCCCACCCTCCACCCACCAATATATCATACAAAAATTAACACCCTAGGAAATCCTAACGCCGTGCCACTCTCACCCGAACCCCCCGGGAGAAATAAGAGAGATCTACGGTAGAATTTAGATAAAACTATTGGTATCACAGGTTCCCACCTACCAGCTGATCATGTGCGTTCTACTGGTAGAGGCAGCCGACATCTATATCGATATGGGGGGTGGAGATATGGGGATGTTGGCGTCTCGGGGGGAGTCGTGCTTGTCTATATGGGGATGTGGGTTTGTATGGCGGTAGGTGTAACCCTGGGCGGGCAGGGCGGTATATGTTTGCGTATACGAAAGTGTGTTCTGTCGGTGTGCGAACAAAAGTCAAGTCGTTGGGCGTGATATGAGCAGCAGGCCAGACAGAGAACGAGAACTTATTTGGGGGGGGGGGTTCTCGGAGGCGGTACTGCGGTGAGGGTCGTTTAGCTCCTGATAGAATGTGCTATAGTATTGTATTGCTATATAGTTGGATCGAGAGATAAATTCCTTGGGGTGGCAGGTGGGTTATTGAAGTTCTAAAGGTCCAGCTCCAGGAGACCAACCCGACCCGAGCTTCCTATATGATAGTCACTATTTCAAGCAAAGCTACCAACTATACGGTAGTAGAAATCACCACCTTCCCCCCCCTCTGCAGCAGCTCTCTCACCCTGCTTTCTTCCCCGGAGATAGCCATCCCTTGTCCTGCAATCGCGGGTCTCCTTCAAAAGCCTTGAAGGCGGGTGGCGCAGGCGGCCGTAGCATATTGTTATCATACCGGAGAGCGAGTATGATATGGTAGGATTCGCCGCGACAGGAGTTTTGGGTGGGGGTTTGTTAATTCAGGTTTGAAGGAGGGGGGAGGGGCTGGGAGGAGAGGAAGGAAGGAAGGGGAAATATCGTGGACTATGGTTTCTTATCATTCTGGGACATTTGTCTAACTATCTATCTACGATATTGGCATGTCATGGTGATATCGTAAATTCGGGATGGAAATATCGGGCGGTATCATAGCTGTGTTACTGCCAGAGAGAGTGTTTGTGTGTTTTATAGCTGATGGGATCAATGCTACTCGGCGATGCATAT